AAGTCCAGCTGTTCTTGTAGCAGGATCTGGATCATTACAGATAAGACAAGTTGAGAAATGTGTGTCAGGACCCTGTGGAAGTCTGCTGTGTATTCATGCACTGAAATTGTATGGGCAGGTTAAACTTCATGGTGCTGATTTTTATTATCCTGAACCCTCTGCAAAATTGTACAAGGGGTAGACTTAGGTCAGATACACAGAACTTCCCTGTAAACTTACCCTAGAAATGTGTTTAACTCAGTAACTAGCCAGTGTAACTCAACTGAGCAACAAAACCTATGTGCCTCCCTCTCTTTGCCATCGTTCCATGGTCACTCATTTGTTTTGCTGCTAGCTGATATTCATGTATTTTGATGGCTAGTTTCCTTCCTATCTGTCTGATGTAATGTTTGTGGCAGTCGTTGCATGATATTTTGTAAATTACGTTGGTTCTGCATGTTGTGGGAATGGGGTCTTTAATCCTTGAGTGCTTGGTGTAGCATGGCTGAGGGCTTGTGTGCTACCATGATTCCTAGTAGACTTAGGAGTCTCGTTGTCAGTTCTGATATGTTCTTGATGTAGGGGCAGTGTGGGCAGTGTGTTAGGGCGTACTGTATACAAAACAAAAACCAGAAGTGACACAACTCACCATAACAGACTGGACAGTATAAATTCCAAGTGGAGTAGTACATCATCGCTTCATCAGAGGCTCCACTGATGATGTTGCCTAGCATGGTGACGAAACACCTGAATGAAAACAAGCCAGCTCGGCGAACAAGTCAACAACTTCACCCACAACCTGAGCTACAGATCTTTGCTAAAACTTTAAACACCTACAGGTGCAACATGCTAAAAATTGCCCAACAATGTGAAACTTTCACCAACCAACTGAGCTCTACCTGTGAACAACTTCACTTCCTCCATGAATGCCTCAGGAACCAGGTACTGCCCTGCAGTGTGAAGTACAAATCTCCACTCAACAACCCACAGGCACACAAAATAGTTGAATAGAATGGATGCAGAATGCTACGGGTAATGATTATTGATGCCCATAACCGACTGTACAAGTATGAATAGGAAATTTCACGCCAAAAATCACAGTACCTAAACACTATGGACCAGCAATGGACTACAACCCTAGAACAGGCCATCACTGTCAAAAGACACAAGCTACAGGAAAAACTTTCCAAACTGGTCCAGGACAACAACAAAGCAGACATATGGATAAGAAACCTATCCAACAGAAAACTTGCAGAAACTGAGAAAGCTGTCCTATTATGTGGACTGAACTATAACCACAAAGATGCAAACAGAACAGACTTCATGGCCACCCTGGAAACTACTCTGAAAAACAGACTCACTGACGAAACACAACAAGCCATCCGACAAACTAATCCCCACGGTAAGCCGAAAGAACGAATGGGACACCCTGAACACAGAGGAAAGCACTAGATAAACTCAAGAAAAACAAGAATGTTATAATCCTCCCAGTGAACAAAGGGGCGCATAACCATCATTATGAACCAACCAGACGAAGAAAGCACAGGCATTGCTCGCAGATGCAACCACTTACCAACAGGTGGCAATAGACCCAACATCATAGCTAAGTAGTAGGATCACCCAGACACTGAAGACGCTAAAGGATGCAGGAAAGATAATCAAGACGGACTACGTGAGAATGAAACCATAAGGCATGAACACCCCCTGCTTCTATGGACTTCCTGAAGAACATAAGCCACACATTCCCCTCAGACTCCGTACCAGGCACACCTTCACACAAACTGGCCAAGGACTTACATCAGAGATTGAAGCACCTAGTCGATGGATCACCCCATTCCATCCACTCAACCCAAGATTTCCTCAATATCTTCAAGAACATTTTCATTTTGAAGAACAGTTTCATTCAGAAAGTAAGGAGGCATGGGATTCAGGGAAATTTGGCTGTCTGGATACAAAACTGACTGTCTTCTATTGGACAGAGGGTGATAGCAGATGGAAAGTATTCAGCCTGGAGCTCTGTGACCAGTGGTGTTCCGCAGGGATCTGTTGTGGGACCTCTGCTCTTTGTGATCGTTATAAATGACCTCGATGAAGAAGTGGAAGGGTGGGTTAATAAGTTTGCCGATGACACGAAGGTTGGTGGAATTGTGGACGGCGTTGTAGGTTGCAACGGGACATTGACAGGATGCAGAGGTGGGCAAAGAAGTGGCGGAATTCAACCCAGAAAAGTGTGAAGTGATTCATTTTGGAAGGCCGAATTTGAATGTAGAATACAGGGTTAATGGCAGGATTCTCGGCAGTGTGGAGGAACAGAGGGATCTTGGGGTCCACGTCCATAGATCCCCCAAAAGTTACTACCCAAGTTAATAGGGTTGTAAAGAAGGCGTATGATGTGTTGGCTTTCATTGGCAGGGGAATTGAGTTTAAGAGCCGTGAGGTTATGCTGCAGCTCTATAAAACCCTGGTTAGACCACACTTGGAATATTGTGTTCAGTTCTGATCACCTCATTATAGGAAAGATGTGGAAGCTTTAGAGAGGGTGCAGAGGAGATTTACCAGGATGCTGCCTGGACTGAAGGACAGGTCTTATGAGGAGAGGTTGAGGGAGATAGGGCTCTTTTCATTGGAGCAAAGAGGTGTATAAGATGATGAGAGGCATTGATACAGTGGATAGCCAGAAACTTTTTCCCAGGGTGGAAATGACTATTATGAGGGGGCATAATTTTGAGGTGATTGGAGGAAGGTATAGGGGAGATGTCAGAGGTATGTTCTTCACACAGAGAGTGGTGGGCATGTGGAATGCGCTGCCAGCAGTGGTAGTGGAGTCAGATACTTTAGAGACTTTTAAGCGACTCTTGGATAGGCACATGGATGATAGTAAAATGTAGGGTATGCAAGGCAGTTTGATCTTAGTAGGATAATAGGTTGGTACAACATCGTGGGCTGAAGGGCCTGTACTGTTCTCTGTTTCTATGTTAACATAAAAATCAGCGACGACAAGATTATGGTATCTTTTGATGTCTCAGCTTTATTCACATCAATTGCCATCCCACTAGCCACATTACTAGAGGAAACAGAAACACAGACCAGCAGCTCCATCAGCAATGACAACATACTTAAACTACTAGACCTCTGCCTTACCACACACTTTGTCTTTAATGGTCAAGTGTACAAACAGATCAATGGTACACCAGTAGGGGTTACCCATCTCAGGACTCATTCATGCAAAGAGTAGAATACACTAGAACCCTCCCCTGCATTCTACCTAAACTGTGGATCCGGTACACAGATGACACATTTGTCATTATTAAACCCAACAAACTAGAAGAGACACACCATCTCAATTAACAACGTATTCGCCAGGATTAAATTCATGAGAGGAGAAGAAAACAATAATCAGCTTCCGTTTCTGGATGTCAGAGTTGACTGTATGACCAACGGGGAGTTCCAAACCTCAGTTTGGAAAGCAACCCACATTGACCCAATTCTCAACTTCCACAGCAACACCCCAACGTCCACAAACAAAGCTGTGTTAGCACACCATTTAAACGGGCCAGCACTCACTGCAACAGAACTGCACAGGAAAGAGAAAGAGCACCTATACAAAGTTTTCGCTATGAACGGATAACCCCGCAACTTCATCCGCAGTTGCCTACTAAACAGGCAACACCAAGAGGACACAGTACGCCCTAACACACTGCCCTACATCAAGAACATATCAGAACTGACAATAAGACTCCTAAGACCACTAGGAATCATGGTAGCATACAAGCCCACAGCCACACAATGACAAACACTCAAGGATTGAAGACCCCATTCCCACATCATGCAGAACCAACGTAGTTTAGAAAATATCATGCAACGACTGCCACAAACATCGGCTAGCAGCAAAATGATACGATGAATTTTCCTTAATATTGGTAAACTCAGACAATGAAGGCCATCAGTTTAACTGGGATAATGTAACTTCAGTAGCCCAAGCCAAACATAGACACGCATGAGAATTCCTAGAGGCATGGTTCTCCACCCATAATGCAATCAACAAACATAGAATTGGACCCCGTATACAAACCCATACAGATCAAAACTGGAAATGACAACTCACCATAACAGATCAGACAGTATAAATTCCAAGCAACATTGCTTCATCGGAGGCCTCACTGATGATGTTACCTAGCACGGTGACAAAACGTCTGAATAGAAACAAGCTAGCTCGACAAGCAAGTCAAAATCCTCAGGAATTGAAGTTCATCCACAAATTATTCACAGCACAACCATATTCTTTCAATCAATGTACTACATCATATTAATCTTAAATTTATGGTGGGGTTTATGTGTACGATTTTAGAAAATAGACTTCGTGTTATTATCGGATCTTGATTTTAATCTCACTTGCCCACAGAAACAGATGAAACCTGAATTATCAATACAAATCTGCAGTAACTTCAAATGTTCTTCAGAGTGGCAAGTTTTCTGCCAATTAACAAAAGACCACAAATGCCAGTGATCTAAAATGAAAACAAGACTCTCAAAAATGAAGTTATTTTTGTCCTTTAGAAGCTGATCAGTTGATGTCACTTTCAGAGTGACATCAGTAGAGTGCAAGATTAAATTCAGAATGTCAAACCCCCCCCCCTTAGATCCGCTTCAATTCATAGGACACTTCTGATATTGCAAATCACCTTTGTATTTTGTGCATTTCACTATGTAAAAAGCAGCACATAATTTAAAAAAAAACTGGTTCACCACCATCATCTGTGAAGAGAAATCAGACCAGACCCAAAACGTTAACTCTGATTTCTCTTCACAAATGCTGCCAGACCTGCTGAGCTTTTCTAGCAATTTCTGATTTTGTTTCTGATTTACAGCATCTGCAGTTCTTTTGGTTTTGGTTTACTACCGATATGTGGACAGGTAAAACTCAACAGAAAGAAGAAAACCTGTAATGGTTATTTTCCTGTTGGGCTATCAAAAATCTCAAGTAGCCCCTTTTAAATTAAAACACAAACTAGTTACACAAATTTGTTTTATATTTTATTCATTATACTCCAGTCAAATGTGCTTTTTGGATTCAAACACACATTCATGTGCCTCTTGCTCAGAAGTTATCAATCTGATGACACTATCTGCCATATCTTGCAGCATTTTTTTAAAATAATGTGAATTCCAGAAAGATTGTGTTTTTTCTTTCAACATCTTTTATTACAATAGACAGGCATTTTGATGTACTACTGAAATGACTGTGCATTAAAGTGATAGCTATAAATATAGTATATACAGAAATTCTTTTGAAAATCAGTAACTTTCAAAACAATAACTTGTGTTCATTTCCTTCCGAAGTAAAGCATTCCTGTTAATTCTGGCTTCTGTAAAGAAAAACAGCTGTCATTTTTGAACTTAAAATAAAAAGAAATATTTATTTTAAGCAAAATTGCTCCTTACCTAAATGTTAAATGCCGTACGTGAACATAACCATCTAAAAGAAACAAAACAAAATAATCCTATTTTGTAAATGTGGTTTCAATTTGTTAAAGTCAGTTTTGAAGAAAAAAATTCTGTGAATATTTCATTTCCACCAATTTTATGTAATGAATTATCTGAAATTATCTCAAACTATCTAACAGTTGTTCAGATTTCCATCTAATGTGCATTACAAACGGAACAAAAGGAATGTTACTTGGTACTCGTCCTCAATCGATCACTGAGAAACAGCAAAACTGTTTACATAATTATTTTAAACATAAGCCGAGTAGCAGGGTTGCATAAATTATTCAGAAACTTAACGATTAAATCAAGTACTTATCAGTATTAACTCTTGATAAAGGAATTTCACTGAAAGCTACAGGAAATCTTTGATAAACATTTACACTGCTGTAGTTTGAAAATCATTCACTTTAGAAACAAAAGTTAAGCAGATTAATTATAATTAGAATAGAAAATATCAGGAGGAGGATAGTTAAATAACAATGAGACCAATAAAATAATTTCAGCCATTATTGCTTGTCAACTCAATATGAACCAATAGAAAATGAGCAATTAATAGAATTAGGAAACCAGGCTGTGATAATGACAAGAAATTCCTATCTTTCAGAAGTAAAGAGGTTCTTGCTGGGACACTGTTACTCATCACATGTAGGAAAAAATAGTCACCATTCAAGGACATTTAAATATAGGGCATGCAGCAGAGATATGAAATGATTAAAATTGAGCTGAACTTAAGTTTCACTTTTGTCTGCACACTTTCCAAAGCACAAGGTTGTCCAATGACTAGGAACTGAAACTGCTAGCTTAGAGTTACTAATGCCATATGTAGCAATCTTACTACCACTCAAACTCATTAGTAAAACTCATCACTAACCAAAAATCATAACTGGGACATTTATAATCTGTGCAGCATAGACCAATGCAAACGTTGACCCATCAGGATGCAGTTTATATTATCCAAGTACAGATTTGAAATTATTTTCACAACTTGCACCCAAAGATTTTAGTACATTCTGTAGTGAGAAAATAAGCAAATTTTTTAATGCAATTAGAATCCCGTGTAAACAGTAACAATAGCTACTTACATTTGCCGTCCGAGTTTCTACAGATAATTTGGTTTCCTTCTCCAATATCGATTACATCCAGCTTCTCTCCGGATTTTATGGGTAAGTACAGGGATCCTTTTTCCTCCCGTACAGCATTCTGCTCTACAACTGCAATGTTTTCCACAACTATCTCCTTAGTATACTAGAAAATATCCACAAAAGGTTGAAATAGAGATTATTTATACGTACCATGATACAAATGAGGAATCTCAGCTATTAAGAAAGGAAGAGCTTATAGCTTACGTATTTCTGGATATACATTCCACATCGTACATCCTTTGTAAATACTCAGTCCTAAACCTCTAATCATTTTAAATCTATGGTCTACCACTATACTTGATTCCATAATCATTACTAAGCACTACTACTAATTGACATCATGGATAAGAATAAATTTTCTTCAGCTCAATATAGACTATTAAGTTCTTCTCCTAGCAACCTGAGCACTAGGCTATGATTCAATAAATATTCCTGCTAGCTCATATAGCTAGTAGTCAAAAGAAAGTTGCCACGGTATCTTGTGTAAATGCCCCAAAGTTCAAATTCCACATCCTAGTCAACAACAGGATCATTTTCTACCTTGCATCATCTACTCCTTTGTTAACATCTCAACTCATGATTATCAATAGAACCTTTATCCACACCTTTGGCATCTCTTGTCTCTGTTATTCTGCTGGAATCTTTAATATCAAGCATTACAAATTTCAGCTTTTCCAACACTCCACTACTTAAATCATACTACAACCCTCCAAAATATTGAATTTTAAAAACTTGTTCTCATTTATGGTGTTGTGGTGCAGGATGCTGTGTCCCTGCCTTGGAGTTAGGAGGCTTTGGTTTCTAGTCTAGGACTTGATGGCTATGGGAGGTGAATTCATAACATGCTCAAACAAATGAACTTATACAAATCAAGACACACCAATCGCTGATGGTAAGAGTGGAAAAGTTTTTTTTTTAAACTTTACTCATGGGATGAGTGTGTGTTGCTGGCTGGGTGAACATTTATTGCCCATCCCTACTTTCCCTGGAGAAGGTGATGGTGATGGTGAGCTGCTTTCTTGAATCATTGTAGTCTATTTGGCATAGATACATTCCCAATACCATTAGGATTCCTGAATGACCATGTGGTGGAAGGTAATTGGAGACTATCACCATCATCCATAGCTTGTCACCTATTTCATTGTTGCATTCTTTAAATCCATTTGACCTCTCACCTACTTCAAAAGCTGCCAATTCTTTCATTCAACCATCCCTTCACTTCACGTCAATCTTTGACATGATTGCTGATTGCATATTGTGCCCTTGATACAAGACAATGTTTTAATCTGAACTTCTTTTAAAAATCAAAATTTTATGGTAACAATTGCAACACGCAGAGATAACATTGAGGTTTAGCCATATTTCTAACATTCTTGCCATGTCATTTTTAGTCACAACATTCCCCAGTTCAGGCAGCTTCTTTACAAAGCTATTATTATTGATGTATACAGGTCTGAAAATCCGTTGGATGGCACATCTCTGGCAAAGAGTTAAAAGTGGTTCCTGTGTGGAATGAACTTCCAGAGGAAGTGGTGGATGTGGGTAGAGTTACAACATTTACATATATTTAGATAAGTACATGAATAAGAAATGTTTGGAGGGATATGGGCCAAGTGCAGGCAGGTGGGACTAGTTTAGTTTGGGATTTTGGTCGACAGGACTGGTTGGACTGAACAGGCCGTGTCTGTGATGTATGACTATGGTGCCGATCACAAGGAAGGGAGGGGAACGGAGAAGATGGGAGAAGCACTTCCAGGAAATAGCCTTAAAAGTTTGACTCGAGCCTGGTATGCAAGGGAGGGTTACATACACCCTCCCCATGCCAGATGAAATAGTTGCACATAGGTACATGATTATGTGGTGTTTTAATCAACAAAACTAAACCAGGGCTCTTCCTGCTGACCACAGCGTATCAGTTATGTATTTTCAGTAACAAACACATTGTGATGTTTTGCAGAAGTGCATAATTTATTTAGGAATGTAAACTCACATTAAACTTTTCTCTAAATTCTTGCTCTTTTAGCATTTTCTTTTTATTCACTTTTGTCTCTTTTTCTTCATTTTGATCTTTTCTCTTGCCTTTGAATATACCTTTCACCTTCTCTCTAATAAAGTGAAATACATTTTACAGATATGCATTAGTTTTTCAGGTTTATTAAAGCAACATTTTCACTTAAAAAAATGGAATATTTTTTCTGCTTTGTAACCAAATTAAACACCGCAAGCTAAACACAATGTTGCCTGTACACCTCGAGATAGCAAGAACTGCAGATGCTGAAGTCAGAGTCAATACAGTATGGAGCAGGAGGAACACAGTAGGTCAAGCAGCAGAGGAGCAGGAAAGTGCTGATGAAGGGTGTAAACCCGAAACATTGACCTCCCTGCTCCTCTGATGCTGCCTGACCTGGTGTGTTCCTCCTGCTCCACACTGTATTGACTGTTGCCTGTATACTGCTTTTGGGCAACCTAAAATTTAGATCTTAAGGGGCTTTCTTTTTCTTCTAATTGACATATATGTATTTGTTCTAAAACGAGTTTTTCAGTCACCGTTTTGTTTTACAAAGTAGAATTTTAATTAGATTAGCTCCAATTGAAGAGGTACTGATGTGATGGTACAAATGGCCATTTTCTATACTGTAATTTCTGTGGCCTGTTAGGGATGCTGATATTTTGGTATTTGGTTCAAGTAACTCATGTTGTTTACTCTTTAAAAAATAACAGATCAACTACAAGTTTGTAGTTACTGAATATTTTGAAAAGACCATTGATGCTGTAATAAAATAAACTAAGTATTCTTGTGTTCTAGTTTCCCTTCCTCCCAAAGTTACTTTATCGAGATACATTTCTGCTGGTGCCGAATCCAGGGTGCCTACTTTCATTTGAAAATCTAGTGCCTTAATATGCAATTTGATTTTAGCAAGCATCAGATACATGCCCAGTCTTGTTCTTGGTCATTTGAGATATATATATACATGTCTCATATAAACTTTCTAGATTCAGCAGCAGTGTGGTATTGCAATCTGATATTATTCAGTCACCACGCCCCTGCAACCTAGTAGCGTTGCAATCGAGATCACTATATCTGATCTGCAGTGTTTAGTGTTGTACTTAAAGGAATGTTTATTCAAGTCAATAAGCAAGGGGGAGAGCTCTAACTGAAATGTACTCAGACACACACATTGGAAATCGGGATTTAAATTCTGAGGAATGAGCAGTATATTTGTAATTTACTAATTTGATGTGATCTGTTGTTAACATGTCAAATAGTCACAATTTAAGCTCACTATAATTTTTCTACATTGAACCATAATTTGTTTTCACATCATAGAATCTCAAATGAGCTGTTGTCAAGCAAATGATTAAGACATAAATTGTTATCATTAGGAATGATAAAGGCATTTAGCTGTATCTGGGTTTTCAGCATTGAAAATTCTTGGTTTTTTGTGTTCACCAGAAATAATTTAGTTGCAAGACAAATTACATGAAATTTCACTGATGATACCAAATTACAAGCCATAGAAGCGGAGGTGAAATAAAATACAAAATTGCATCAAGGCATAGGTAGATTCATCAAATGGATAGATATTCAATTGTGAATTGTACATTTTGTGAACCGTAAGGCAAGTATGCCCTTAAGCGTTGTACTTAACAGGGTGAATGAACAGAGAAATTTAGCGATTCACTTTAAAATAAAAATCAATGCAACTGGGAAAGTTTGCAAATTCCAAATTGGATCCTAATTCTGTACATTTTGAATACAATTAATAAGGCAATGCTGAATTTATCCAAGGAAATAATTAGGTCTCAGTCAGGCAGCACAATGGTATGAAAAGTATAACAAAAATTCACCAGAATGGTGCATTATGAAGAAAACCTCAATATTTGGGGAATATTTAAAGAAGAAATTTAAATGGTATTCAAGGATATTTTCAAACATAACTGAAAAATTAGTAATAAAGGAGATATGAACTGAGGATTACTGCTAGAAGAACAAAAGAGAAATGCAGAATATAGTTTTTGTGAAATTAGTTGGTGGAATGCTTTACTTCAAGCTTAAAGACCATAAGATGGAACAGAAATAGGCCATTCAGCCCATCAAATCCCCCCGCCATTCAACAAGATCTTTGCCGATGACAATCCTGAACTCCACTTTCCTGTCTTTTCCCCATAATCCTCTACTCCCTTACTCATTAAAAATGTCTATCTCAGCTTTGAATATACTTAACAACCCCTCCTCTTAACAGCCCTCAGAATGCCACAGATTCACTGTCCATTGGTACAGTCGACAATACTTCTTACACATATTCGGGATAACCGTAACGGAAGCAGCTAGAGTTCCCACACAGCACAGGATGTACTCCACACTGTTCAGAGCAACCCTGCTATTCCCCTAGGAGATAATAAACTTTCTTAATACTAACAGTAAGCACTATTAGTATTACTGCGGAAAAATAAAAGGGAAAAGTCTCACCAGCTACTCACCTGCCTGGTGTCAAAATCACTTAAAAAAAAAAAGCTAACCAAATGCCTTACTTACACTTTTAACTTTACTGATTTTTCTTATCAGTCCCTAAACTTGGAGCAAGAGAAATGTGTCAGCAATATTCATCAGCTAATCAATCTACAGTTTTCCTATGATGTCACTATTTTACTTTTTTTCTCCCCATTTCTTTCAAATGCTGGCTTGCCACTCAATCCCCCATTTCAGCTGCTCAGTCTCTTGTATAGGCCCAAAGCCTCAACTTATCTCCTTCACAGTCCTCCTGATTCCTCCTCGGTCTGGTATAGGCTGTTCACAGATAAAGGGACGACTGGCAAGTAGGAGGCTTTCAAACGATAACCAGTCAGTATATTTCTGAGAGAGTGAAGGGAAAGGCGGTAGGAGTAAGGAACACTGGATAACTAGAGATAATGAGGCTCTGGTCAAAAAAAAAGGAGGCATACGTCAGGTATAGACAGCTGGTACCAAATGAATCCCTTGAGGATTATGGGGTAGTAGGCATATACTTAACAGGGAAGTCAGGAGGGCAAAAAGGGAATGAGATAGCTTTGGTAGATAAGGTTAAGGAGAACCCAAAGAGATTTTACAAGTACACTAAGGCCAAAAAAGAATAACTTGGGACAGAATAGGGCCCCTTAAAGATCAATGAGGCAGTCTATGTATGGAACCACAGGAGATGGGTGAGATAGTAAACAAATATTTCACATCAGTATTTACTGTGGAAAAAGACATGGAAACTGGGGAACTTGGGTAAATAAATAGTGATATCGTGAAAAGAGTCCATATTACAGAAAAGGAGGTGCTGGAGATCTTAAAACGCATTAAGGTAGATAAATTCTCAGGACCTGATCAAGTGTATCCCAGGACATTGTGGGAAGCTAGGGAAGAAATTGTGGGGCCCCTAGCAGAGACATCTGTATCATCTACAGCCATGGGTGAGGTGCCATAAGACTGGCGGCTGGTTAACATGGTGCCATTATTTAAGCAAGGTGGAAAGGAAAAGGCAGGGAACCAAAGACCAGTGAGCCTGACATCGATTGAGTTTTTGAGAATGTGACCAAGAGGATAGATGAGGGCAGAGCGGTAGACATTGTCTATGTGGCCTTTAGAAAGGCCTTCAATTCCACATGATAGACTGGTTAGTAGGGTTAGATGACATGCGAGAGCTAGACAATTGGATACAAAATTGGCTTGACCGTAGGAGACAGAGTGGTGGTTGAGTGTTGCTTTTCAGTCTGGAGGCCTGTGACCAGTGGTGTGCCACAAGGATCGGTGCTGGGTCCACTGTTGTTTGTCATTCATATAAATGGTTTAGATGAGAATATAGGAGGCATGTTTAGTAAGTTTGCAGATGACACCAAAATTGGACAGTGAAGAAGGTTATTTCAGAGTACAACAGGACCTTGATCAGCTGGGCCATTGGGCCAAGAAGTGGCAGATGGAGTTAATTTGGATAAACGTGATGTGCTGGAGTTTGTTAAGACAAACGAACGCAGAACTTAGTTAATGGTAGGGCCCTGAGGAGTGTTGCTAAACAGATGGACTTAGGTGTTCAGGTACATATAACCTTGAAAGTGACATTGCAGGTAGACATGGTGGTGAAGGCGGCATTTGGCATGTTTGCCTTCATTGGTCAAAACACAGAGTCGAGGAGTTGAAATGTCATGTTGCAGCTGTACAGGACATTGGCAAAGCCACTTTTTGAGTACAGCATACAATTCTGATCACTCTGTTGTAGGAAGAATGCTATTAAACTGGAAAGGTTGCAGAAAAGATTTACAAGGATGTTACCGGGACTGGAGGGTTTGAGTTATAAAGTGAGACTGGATAGGCTGGGACTTTTACCCTGGAGCATCAGAGATTCAGGGGTGACACCTCGGGCGACTGTCTGTGAGGAGTTTGCACATTCTCTCCGTGTCTGCGTGGGTTTCCTCCGGGTGCTCTGGTTTCCTCCCACAGTCCAAAGATGTGCAGGCTAGGTGGATTGGCCATGGGAAATTGCCCGTAGTGTTCAGAGGTGTGTGTGTTATAGGGGGATGGGTCTGGGTGGGATGCTCCAAGGGTCGGTGTGGACTTGTTGGGCCGAAGGGCCTGTTTCCACACTGTAGGGATTCTATGATCTAGTCTATGATCATAGAGGTTTATAATATCATGAGAGATATAAATAGGGTGATTAGCAAAGGTCTTTTCCCCAGGGCAGGGGAGTTCAAAATTGGAGGGCATAGGTTTAAGGTGAGCACGGAGAGATTTTAAAAGGACCTGAAGGGCAACATTTTCACAGAGGGTGGTGCATATATGGAATGAACCACCAGAGGAAGTGGTAGATACAGGTACAGTTACAACATTTAAAAGACAGGTACATGGATAGGAAGGATTTAGAGACAGATGAGCCAAATGCGGGCAAATGGGGCTACTTTAATTTGGGAAACCTGGTCAGCATGGATGAGTTGGACTGAAGGGTCCGTTTCCATGCTGTATGAGGTGGGTCTGAGCCTGGGCCTCAATTTGTCTTCTTTTCAGTGCTCTAGATTCCTTGTAAGGAAGAGTAATAGCTCAGAGTCAGGGTGTGTTTTTTTTGTTGTATTTGGGGAAGACATAAAACCTGGTTTATTAGACCATTCTCAGCAGAACTGTAACCAGTGCAAAACCAGAGCCTGACAACCTCACAGTGTTGTAGTATTCACTAGTTTCATTTCAGCGCCTTATTTTATGACTTAACCTTAGCATTCTACCTTCTTTAATTCTGTGTTGCTGTTTATTTCCCAACTATATGCAAACACCTACATACACATTGGAACAAGGATCTCTAATTGCCAAGCATTAAAGAATGCTATAATCTCAACTGTAAGTTAATTATATTAGTTTCTGACCATCAAAGACAATAACATTCTTTATAAATGATACTGAATAGCATTTGAAGATAAGGAATAGAAAGGATATAGGAGAAGTGATGTACCAAACAGCTCTAACAATAAAAGAGCTTCTAAATGGAACCATTGCCTTCTTCTGTACTGTAATTTCTATGATAAATATACATAATATACTCAACATTTTATATTTCATGAACTTGTGATTTTTCTTTACATTAACTAACAAAAACAAAAATCACAAGAAATGTCTGAAAGACACATCAAGTGAATCAGCATGCAAAAAAGTGGACAAAAAAGTGTAGTGAACATTTAAGGGAAATGTTTCTCCAGCCTGACTACACTATTCTGAATTAACATTTTAGTTTGATGATAATTGATCAGCACTCTCAGTGGAAGTTCATTAATTAAACAGTAACATGAACCCTCTTTCCTTCTCCACACTTGGGTCAAGTATTACCAGCACTTTCTGGTTTTAGTTTAGCTTTCCAGCATCTGCAGTATTTTGCTTTTGTATGGAAGTTCTGCAGTTACAATTAAAGCTACAATTAAAATTTTGATCAACTTTTTGCATTCCAACATTTTCTATTTTTTTTATTTCTGCATATTGGTTTAGTTTGTAAAAGCATCATTTTACCTGGTTGCCTTAAAATCTGCAATGAGGCCATCTGTGAAATAAAGCAGAACAGTTTACAGAAATTATTGTTTGAACAGTATATCTATATTTAACTGTGCAAAGATCAAGAGAAACAACTTACCCTCATTATTGCCATCCAGTCTTAAGTAGGAGAGAAAGAAAACAATTAATATTCACAAATCTAACACTTTAATGTAATAAAGCAACTATGAATGCCATTTTTACCAGTATTAAGTAGCTACCATCAGATTGATATTTAGTGCAAAATCATGTAATTTTGAAGCAATGTGATCTTAAGAGAACTGGAATCACTGATAAAAAAAGCTGATCTACGTGATGCAACCGAAGACATCATCACTGCAAAGCCTGACGAATACTTCCGGCTCAGCCTCACTCTCAATAGGACCATTCAACCAATACATCAGCAGCAGGATGCCTGTCCAACTTCTCAACACTGTTTCTAACTGACCTTGCAGGGAAAAACATGTAAATGTTAAATACACCTTGGAAAGGAAAGTTGCGTTTTATCTTAAGCAATCGTAATGATGTAATTTGCAGATGGCTAAAAAGAGGTGAAATGCTGTTGCAAAATTTCTAGAAAGTTGCCAGCTCTCCACAATATTGCTGGCAGTGTCGGAAGGGAAATGCAAGAAGAGGATCCCACCAGTAATACTCAGAATATGATGCAGACGAGTTGGACTGAAGGGTCTGTTTCCATGCTGTTACACTCTACCTCTACCACCTCAAGTTATATTAAATCAGCTACAGGAACATCACCTCGTGGACCTAGATTCAAAAATAGGGCGAGGTTACCTGACTAGATCAGTGTAGTTTTGTGTAAAACCTTTGAACAATGCACTCAATTGAACTAGATTAACAAATTCTTAAGCATGGTAAACTGTTCCAGTTCCCCTAATATTCATATGTTATAAAATCTTACTAAAATTTGCCACCACTGCAAAAGATTTGCTCTCTTTATCATTATTAAATTAAGATACAACAAGAGTAAACATACTAACTGGGTAATAAGTACTAATGCAATTGTATCCATTTCTGACAAAAATACAGTCCATAGTCATAAACTTCTACCAAGATGTTCTAAATCTCAGACACTGAGAAAAATAGCAGCACCACATGCTACATTAAGCACAAATTAGTAGGCAAAGCAAGACTAGTACAATCAGAATTAAAATTCAGCAAAGTACAAACTCTACAATTACCAACATTATTGCAAATTGGTGAATATTCTACAATAACTGCGACAGTAATCTATAAACATGTTATTTGCTTTAGGTGTCAAAAGTAGTAATACATTTCACTGTACCTTTCAGCTTCTTGTACCTTTGTGTTCATTTCTCCAGTTGTCTTTACATTTTCTTCACGCTTCCTGAAGATATTTGCCCAACTGGTTTTATTTGGGTCTGATTTTGAAGCTCTGTCTCTATAGAGAACACAGTAAAATGCCAGGAAATGAATTAGTAAGAGCATAGATTTAGTTGTCTCCTCTAATTTTACTAGAAAAGGTACATGAAACTTCGGGACGTATAGAATACCACTGGCACATAACACATAACATATTAATATGTTGGAAAACATGGAGTGCAAGAAAACGTTACATTTCCCACTATCGATTGCGATCTGCTGACACTCATCGAGTCGGCAACAAAAAGGAGCATTTAGAGAGTGTGTCTAGAATCATACCATAATACGAATCATGGCGCCCAAGAAAGGATATACACACAATTCATCCCCCAGAAATCACAGACAGCCAAGGGACTAACTGGAATGATGAACTGAAAGAAATTAGTATTAGTAACAAAAAGATACAAAAATTAAGGGAACACAAGTTGATACATCCTAGGACCCAAAGATCCACATTCTAGGGTGCTGGAAGAGATGGCTACTAAAGTAATTGATGCCTCAGTGATCATCTTTCAAAACCCTATTCAATCTGGACAGTGCCTGCAAATTGGAATGTTGAAAGTATAACCTTATAATTTGAGATAAGAGGGAAAGTGAAAATAGGGAACTACTGAGTTTGGTTTGGTTGCAAACATTTCATCACCCTGCTAGGTAACATCATCAGTGCACCTCTGGTGAAGCATTGGTGTTCTGTCCTGCTTGTTATTTATATGCTTCAGTTCGTTGGGGTGTTTGGTACCATTTCCGGTTCTGTTTCTCAGTGGTTTGTACACAATTCAATGTGTTTGTTGATGAAGTTCCGGTTGTAATACCAGGCCTCCAGGAATTCCCTGGCATGTCTCTGTTTGGCTTGTACAATTGTGGATGTGTTGTCCCAGTTGAATTCGTGTCCTTCATAGTCAGTGTGTAGTGAGACCAGTGAGAATTGGTCGTGTCTCTCGGTGGGTAGTTAGTGTTCATGTATCCGTATTTTCAGTTTTCTTCTGGTTTGGCCTATGTAGCGTTTCTCACAGTCCTTGCATAGTATTTTGTACATTAAACCAGTTTTGCTGATTGTGATCAGCTATGGGATCCTTTACGTTCGTCAGTAGCTGTTGTAGGGTGGTTGTGGTTTGTGGGCTACCCTGATACCTAGCAGTCTGAGTAGTCTTGTGGTCATCTCTGAAATGTCCTTGATGAATGATAGGGTGATTAGTGAGTCTGGTCGTGTTGTGTCTTCCTGTTGTGATCTATCTCACAGGTAATGGTGGATTGTGCTTTTCGAGTATCCATTCCTTTTCAAGACTCCATATAGGTGCTCCTGTTCTGCTTTGCGTAGCTCCGGGTTGCTGCAATGTGTTGTGGTTCGTTTGAACCAAACCCACCGGCTCGGCGAGCATGTCTACAACCTCACCCACAACCTGAGCTACAAATCTTCTTGAAAACTTTAAACTGAATTGTTAATTTGTAGGAGCAAAAAATAATACAATTTATTATAAAGGATATGACAACTCAACACCAAGAAAATTATGGTCTGACTGGGCAGAGCCAGTTTGGATTAATGAAAGGGAAACCATGTTTGCCAAAATTATTAGGTCTTTTGGAGGATCTTACAAGAACACGTGGATATGAAATACTTTTTTTAAAAGCCTTCTGAAAATTCAATTCCCACTCAGGAGTTTAGCACACAAAATTAGATCCTAGAGGATAGGGGGAATTGATGAGCATAAATTAAGAATTGGCTAATGGAAAGAATAGAGTATGAATAAATGCATCATTCTCAGGTTGATAGGTTATGACCAGTGTGGTACTGCAAAGATCAGTGCTTGGGCCAACTATTCACAAACTATATTACTGATTTGGATGTGGTAATCAAAAGTAACATTTCCAATTTCACAGATGACACAAAACTAGGTGTGCATGTGTGTGAGGAGAGAATGCAAAGAGGCTTCAAGAAGACATGGACAGGTGAAGTGAGTGGATAAGAACATTGCAGATGGAATATAATGTGAATAAGTATGAGATTATCCACTTCGGTAGGAGGAATGGATGCGCAGTGTATTTCTTAAAATGGTGAGTGATTGGCAAATGGTGATGTCCAAAGAAATCTGGTATCCTTTGTTCATAAGTTACTGAAAGTTAACATGCAGTTACAGGAAGCAGTTTGGAAGGTGAATGCTATGTTGGCCTTCATCACAAAGGATTTGGGCATTGGAGTAAAGATGTCTGATTTTACTTGTATAGAATCTTGATAAGATATTACCTGGGTTATTAAGTTAAATTTTAGTCCCAAGGAATGCTCTACTTGTCAGAGGGAGCACAGTGTAAGCACAGCAAATGGTAGGAATAGGCCAATCAGCCCTTCAAACCTGCTCCACCATTCATAATGATCATGGTTGATCATCCAACTCAACAGCCTGTTTCCCCTTTTCCTCCATATCCTATGATCCCTTTAGCCTCAAATGCTATATCCAACTTCTTCTTGAAATCATATAATGTTATTGCCTCGACTGCTTTCCATGCTAGTGAATTCCACAGGCTCACCATTTCATCGCTGAAGAAATTTCTCACATCTCAGCCGTAAATGGTTATTACTATATTCTCAGACTATGGCCCTCGTTCTGGACTTACCCAACATCGACAACAGCATTTATGCATCTACCCTGTCTAGTGCTGTTTGAATTTTAGAGGTTTCTACGAGATCCTCCCTCATTGTTATAAACGCCAGTGAATATAATCTAAGTTATTCAACCTTTCCTATATGCCAGTCCCATCATTCCAGGAATCAGTCTGGTAAAACTTTGCTGAAATCCCTTTATAGCAAGAACATCCTTCTTCAGGTATGGAGACTAAAACTGCACACAATATACCAGATGTTGTCTCACCAAGACCCTATATAATGGCAGCAAGGCATCCCTGCTCCTGTACTCACTACAAATGCTGACATATCACTTGTCTTCATTGCTGCTTGCTGCATCTGCATGCTTACCTTCAGCAATTGGTGTATGAGGTCACATGGGTCTTGTTGCACATTCCTCTCTCTCAATTTATAGCCATTCAGATAATAATCTGCCTTCCTGTTTTCACCGTAATGTGGATACCTGCACATTTATCCACATTATGTTGTATTCACCACGCAACTGCCCATTATTCAGCTTGTCCAAATCACACTTATACATTTCTGCATCCTCCTTGCATTTTAACGTCCCAAATATTTCATATCCATGTGTTCTTGTAAGATCCTCCAAAAGGCCTAATAATTTTGGCAAACATGGTTTCCCTTTCATTAATCCAAACTGACTCTGCCCAGTCAGACTATAATTTTCTTGGTGTTGAGTTGTTATATCCTTTATAATAAATTGTATTTTTTTCGCTCCTACAATTTAACAATTCAGTTTAAAGTTTTCAAGAAGATTTGTTTAACATGTCATCTGAAAATTTGGAGATATTACATTTAGTACCCTCATCTAAATCATTAATATTATTGTGGTACCATATCAATCACTGCCTGCCTTTCAGAAAAAGACCTGTTTATTCCAACTATTTGTTTCCTTGTTGCAAACCAGTTTTCTGTCCATATCAATGGATTGCGCCCAAGTTAATTTTACATGCTAATGTAAAATCTTATGTAAGACTTTGTCAAAAGCCTTCTGAAAGTTCACCTCTTAAACCATATCTACTGACTCCCCCTCATCAACTCTATTAGTTACATCCTTGAAGAAGCAGGATTTCTCTTCCATAAATCAATTCTGACTTGACTCTGTCCAATCCTGCCACTTCCTTAAGTACTCTGGGGTGTAGATTATCAGGCTGTGGGGATTTATTGGGCTTCGACACCATCAATCTTCCCCAACACCATTTCCCTACTAGGACTGATTTCATTCACTTCCTCCCTCTCACTAAACCCGGTGTTCACCAACATTTCTAATTTGTTATTTTTGTCCTCTATTGTGAATACAGAACCAAAAGTATATAATTCATCAGCCACTTCTTTGCTCTCCATTCTAAATTCCCCTGTTACAAACCTTCAGGGACCTATATTTGTCCTCACCAATCTTTTTCCCTTTACATGCCTCTAGAAACATTTCCGGTCAGTTTTATGTTCCCTTCAATCTTACACTCATTTCCATTTTCCCTTCCTTAATTAATCCCTTTATAACCCTTCTGCTGAGACCTAAACTGCTCACAGTGCTCAGGTCTGTTGATTTTTCTGGCCAATTTGTGTGCCTCTTCCTGTAGGTTCACCAGATTATTTCCTGGACAATTGTCCTATATGGAGAGATTTAGGGGAATGGCAGGGCAGATACAGAAGGGATATTTCCTCCAGCTTGTTGATCTAGAATCAAGGGACAGTGTCAGCATTAAGGAGAAACTTTGTTTCAGATCTCCAGCATGTGCAGTTCTTCATTTTATTTTATGTTAGGGACAGGATATTTAGGACTGAAATGAGGAGGCATTTTTTTTCACTCAGCAGGTAGTGAATTTTTGGAATTCTCTATCCTGAGTGCAGTGGAAGTTCAGTCACAGAGTAAATTCAAGGCAGAGATCAATACATTTCTAGATACTAATGATGTCGAGGGATAAGGGAATAGCATGGGAAAATGGCATTGAAGTAAATCATCAATCATGCTTTCAAATGGTACAGCAGCCTCGTGAACTGAATGAACATAGGAGTAGGAGTAGACATAGACCTTAAATGACAAGTAACATTGGCAATTTGATCACTTACTCAAAATCACCATATTCCTTTACACTGTTAACATCTTCATACACACTGCTTGCACCACTTTCCGAGTTAGTTATAGCTAAGGAATATAAAACAAAAGTTGATTAGAAACAAGAAAAACAGGACTTTAAAAAGGCATTGAAACTTACAAAAACAAAGGGTTGGTGTCCAATTTAATCTCGCACCAAGAGTTTGCATTCAAATCCTATAAAAATTATCTAATTCTATCTCAATAGTAGCACTTGCTTCACTGCTTATTTTGCCACTCTACTGCTGAACCCCTGTACATCTAACCTTTTTCACCTCAGGATCTGACCAACAACATTTTGACTGGTTGCTCATTCTCCACAAACTTCAGTTCCACAACACTCTACTGCCATATTCAATCCTGCACCAAATTACACCCACCCAAGATCTCTGTCCTCAGCTGATCCTCAACATCTTAAAATTATCCTCATCATGTTTAAGCCTCTCCATGGTCTCACCCCTCCAATCTTTCGTCGAGTTTAACACACAAATGATCTCTTCCTCTGAACTCTCAATTCCTTTCATTACAGCCTTTGGAATACCACTCTCTTCTCCTTCGATGTTTTAAAATTTAACCTATTTTTCTAACCAACCTGTTCAATGATGTTGTTATGCACCTCTGGAGTAGGTGGGAGTAGGGACACTATCACTGTGCCACATGAGGGCGCTCTCCCCTCCTTCTTTGACATATTTGAGTCATCTGTCCCCAGTCTGAAAATCACTCCATCTCACCATTTTTAATGAAACATTTTGGGTCATTTCTGTACATTAAAGACACTATTTAAAAACAACTTGTTGATCTCTATGAAACGCTCTGGAGTAGAATTTTAATACAATTTTATACCAGACATTTGTATGGTATACATGAATGTAAGTACAACAATGAATACTCAACAAACCAATATTAAAATAAGCTACAATCTTCTAATTACTTAACAAGCTTACCCATCAAGTAAATGATCAAAGTGGAAATAGTTATCCTAGTCAGAGCAGGGGAGTCCAGAACCAGGAGTGATAGTGTAAGGATATGGGGTGGGCTATTTAGGACTGAGATAAGGAGAAACAATTTCACCCAGAGAGGAGTGAGTCTATGGAATTGTCTGCCCCAGAAAGTGGTTGAGGCTGAAACATTAATGTTTTCACAAAGGAATTAGATATAGTTCTTTGTGCTAAAGGGATCAAAGGGTTTGGAAAGAAAATGAGAACAGGTTAATGAGTTGGATGATCAGCCGTGATCATAATGAACAGCAGAGCAGGCTTGAATGGCCTACTACTCCTATTTTCTCGGTCTCCATGTTAACAGCAGAAAATCTGAGAAATGTTGGCTTGGTGACTGTCATTTAGGGAGTGACAAGAAAACTGGGCCTGAACCACAGGTTCAGCTCCTAATTTTTTTCCAGTATACTTGTAATATTACATGGGAACTAGAAAGGACTGAGCTGTGGTGAGTTTGAATTCATTGCTAAAAGTGAACATCAAAGCTCTTGCATGACTTGCGGTATGTGGAAGAATTGCATGTCTGAAGTTATATATTACTACCTTTCATTTATACAGCAATTTGAACATAGTGAAATGTTCAAACATATTTCACCGGAATGTTATGAAGCAAATTACGGCACAGAGTTACCTAAGGTGACCAAATGTTTGGTCAAACAGGTAAGTTTTCAGGAATGTCTTAAAAGGAGGAAAGTGAGGAAGCATGGCCAAGTGAAGAAGATTCATCAGAATCAGCTTTATTTGCGAGTGGTGGATTTTTAAAAAAAAGAACTCTCTGAAAATGTCTAGAGGTGATCACTGAAAGTTAATACTCAATGAAAAGGGATATTGGGAACCCATTGGAAGCTAGAAGCAAACACTGACTGATTGTTGTAAGGATTGTAATTCAGTGGAAAGTAATAAATGATAAATATAAAAAGGGCAATGTTTCTCTCATAACTTAAAGCACAAATTATATACAAAACTAAAAGTGTTTAATAAATTGATGGTGAAATTTGAATCCAATAAAAAAATCTGAAATTAAGAATCTTCTGATGACCATGAAATCATTGTCAGTTGTCAGGAAAAACCCACCCGATTCACTAATGCCCTTCAGAGAAATCAGCCAACCTCACCTGGTCTGGCCTACATGTGACTCCAGGGCCACAGTAACATAGTTGACTCTCATGTGCCCTCTGAAATGGTCTAGCAAGGCACTCAGTTGTATCAATCGCTATGAATTGTCAACAAAGAAATGAAACTGAATAGACCACCTGGCATCGACGTAGGCACCAGAAAAGACGATGGCATAATTCCATGAGTATGACTGTATCCCAGACACCCCCATCACTATCCCTGGATATGCCCTGTCCAACCGGCAGCACAGACCCAGCAGAGGTGGTGGCTCAGTGGTATATAGTCAGGAGGCCTGAACATCGATTCTGACCCCATGAAGTCTCGTGGCATCAAGTTAAACATAGGCAAGGAAACCTCCTACTGATTAGCACATACTGTCCTTCCTCAGCTGAGGAATCAGTACTCCTCCATGTTGAGCAACTATTTGAGGAAGCAATGAGGGTGGCAAGGGCATAAAATGTACTCTGGGTGAGGGATTTCAATGTCCGCCACCAAGATTGGCTTGGCGCCAGCATTACTGATTGACCTGGTCAGGTCTTAAAGGAGAAAGCTGCTCGACTGGATCTGCAATGGGTGGGGAGGGAACCAATAAGAGGGAAAAACATAGCTGACTTGATTTTCACCAATCCGCTGGTTGCACACTTATCTGGCCATGACAGTATCGGTAAGAGTGATCACTGCATGGTCCGTATGGAGACAAGTCCCACCATCACATTGAGAGTACCCTCCATCGTGTTGTGTGGCACTAGTGCTATGTTAAATAGTGAACAGACTTAGCAATTTAAGACTGGGCAACCTTGAGGCACTGTGGACCAACAGCAGCAGAATTGTGCTCCAACATAATCCGCAACCGCATGGCCTGGTATGTCCCCCACTCAACTATTACCATCAAGTTAAGAGATCAACTCTGGTTCAATGGAAAGTGCAGGGGGGCATGTGAGGAGCAACACTAGGCATACCTGAAAATGAGGTGCCAACCTGGTAAAGCAACCAAACAGGATTACTTGCATGCTAAACAGCATAAGCAGCATGTGATAGACAGAACTAAGCAAAGCCAACAGATCAGGTCTAAGTTCTGCTACATCCAGTCATGAATAGTGGTGGACAATTAAACAACTTACTGGAGGAGGAGGAGGAGGCAGCTCCACAAATATCCCCATCCTTAACAATGGAAGAGTCTAGCACATCAGCGCAAAAGGTAAGACAGAAGCATTCACTGCAATCTTCAGTCAGAATTGCCGAGTGGATGATCCAGTTGTCCCCAGCATCACAGATACAAGTCTTCAGGCAATTTGATTCACTCCAAGTGATGTCAAGAAATGGTTGGATACATTGGATACTACAAAGGCTATGGGCCCTAACAACATTGTGGCAATAGTACTGAAAGCTTGTTCTCCCAAACTTGTCACTCCCCTAGCCAAACAGCTACAATACTCGCATCAATTCAACAATGCTGAAAATTGCCCAGATATGTCCTCTAAACAAGAAGCAAGATAAATCCAACCCATCCAATTACTGCCCCATCAGTCTACTCTCGATCATCAGTAAAGTGATGGAGGTGTCTTAAACAGTGCTATCAAGCAGCACCTGCTCAGCAATAACCTGCTCAGTGACGCCCAGTTTGGGTTCTGCCAGGGCCACTCAGCTCCTGACCTCATTACAGCCTTGGTTCAAACATGGACAGAAGAGCTGAATTAAAGATGTGAGAGGAGAGTGACAGCCCTTGACATCAAGGATACGGTTCCAGAAGGCAGCTCACCACCACCTTCTCAAGGGCAACTAGAGATGGGTTGGCCAGCCAGTGACACCCATATCCCACAACTGAATAAATAAAAAAAAACAGAATGTGCTTTGGGTGATATGCTACATTAAAATGTTTTAAAAAAAACTGTCCCATTATTTAACTATACCTGGAATCCATTTTAAATATTAATAGTGTCTATGGAGATCATGACAAAGTGGATTCGACATATCGATAGCATGTGTTTATTTCTTTCAAATATCAGCATTAAATGAGTGTTCAGGGTCCAAGACTCTGGATTTTACCTGTCATCAGCAAAGCTCCATACTATTCATGAAACTTACAAACTGGGGCTATATAGTCAAACTAAGAGTTGCCATGGTAAAATTGGGAGCAAGTTTCTACTTAATGTCGATGTAAAAACAGCACACAAACTAATTTCACTCTCTAAATAACTGCATGCTACAGTAACTTGGAATGTTTTTGGGCCACATCTATTTGTCGCACATTGGCAACATTGGATAAAAATAAATGATCAGTTACATTTTTAGGTCTAGTAAGAAGAGGAATTTTTCAATTGCTTCATAGTCTTGATGATCACTGTATTCAAATAAATTCAATAATGTCTGAAACAAATTTTAAACCACCTCAGTAATATGCTACTTACATGAAATAGACTGTGACCTTGAACTGGCACTGTGGAAATATAAAATGGATAAATAAGTTGAGAAATAACATCGAATTTTAAACTAAGCATCACTAGCAACAACCTCAAGAGAGTGGAAGGTTTTCAGTTTAGATCCCATTTCAGGAATTAAGCACATAATCTAGACTGACATTTTATTGTAGTACTGAGAGAGTGACATTATTTGTCTTACCAATGAGATGTTAAACTGAATCCGACCCCACCACCAAAGACATCTTTCCCTCCCCACCTTTATCTGCTTTCCGGAGGGACAACTCTCTCCGTGACTCCCTTGTCCGCTCCACACTCCCCTCCAGCTCCACCACACCCGGCACTTTTCCCTGCAACCGCAGGAAGTGCTACACCTGCCCCCATACCTCCTCCCTCACCCCCATCCCAGGCCCCAAGAAGACTTTCCACATCAAGCAGATGTTCACCTGCACATCTGCCAATGTGGTATACTGCATCCGCTGTACCCGGTGTGGCTTCCTCTACATCGGGGAAACCAAGCGGAGACTCGGGGACCGCTTTGCAGAACACCTACGCTCGGTTCGCAACAAACAACTGCACCTCCCAGTCGCGAACCATTTCAACTCCCCCTCCCATTCCTCAGACGACATGTCCATCCTGGGCCTCCTGCAGTGCCACAACGATGCCACCCGAAGGTTGCAGGAACAGCAACTCATATTCCGCTTGGGAACCCTGCAGCCCAATGGTATCAATGTGGATTTCACAAGTTTCAAAATCTCCCCTCCCCCTTGACCTGTCCGTCCTCCCTGGACTGACCTATCCCCTTCCTAACTCCCTACCTACACTCACCTTTCCTGGCCCCATCCCCGCCTCTTCGACCTGTTTGTTTCCTCTCCACCTATCCTCTCCTCTATCCCTCTTCTATCCGCCTCCCACTCTCTCCCTATTTATTTCAAAACCCCCTTCCCCTCCCCCTTTTCTGATGAAGGGTCGAGGCCCGAAACGTCAGCCTCTCTGCTCCTATGATGCTGCTTGGCCTGCTGTGTTCATCCAGCCCTGCACCTTGTTGTCTCTGTTAAACTGAAGATTTGTTTGCATGCTCAAACAGATATAAAGAAATGCATGACAGTAATTGAAGAGTAGCAGAGAACTCTTCCAAATATCCTGGGAAACATGCATCTCTTAAACCACACTAAAACAGATTAATCCATTGTTTATATTATTTGCTATTAGTGGGACTTTACTGCGTACAAATTGGCAGCAACATTTGTCTGGGAAATGATACTGATGTCAATGCAAAGACAATTTTTTCAATCTACTCCATGTGAAAAATCAGTGTTTGATCTGTGATTATCTTTTGTATCCCATCACCACAATCCCCTTATGAAGGGGAAATGTGCTAGCACCATGAAGTACCATTTTTCTCAATCATTTTGATTTGGCACCAAAAATTGTTAAGTTCTGCTGTACAATGATTTAAATACAAGTTAAAGTTTCTCCTGCATTGTGTCAATAATACCAAAAGTGAGTCACATGGCATCAATGTGCAATATTCCCTTTCTCATCAGAGTAAATTCTGCTGCTTCTCTGGATAGAAACAATTGTGATACATTATAGGAAGTTTTACACTGACACCATATTCACTAGAACAGAGATTAAACAACTTCCTGTGGCACTGTTGCAATGAGATTGAGCCGATTTCAGAACCAAATCCAGGATGTGCAAAAAATTGTTCACCATAATACTGCACCATTCAAACCATTAAAAAAAGTCCCAAATATCCTCTTCAAATTTATTCTACCTATTGTTTTAGCTTTAAATGATGGCTAATAATGCTTGTGTCTTCTAAGCATCTTTCTTTATCATGAAATACAATAAAAAGTGTTAAGAATGCTCTCCGCTAATCTATCCTGCAGTAAATTCAAGAGTTGTGTGAAATGTCACAATTATTTAAATTACATTTCAATTATCCAGTAACTAGAGATGGTGAACAATGCTGGGGAAAAAAACTGAGGCATGTTCAGGGGAGCCGTTGTTACAGAATGTATGCAGCAAAGTGTCAGTCAAATATCAGATCTGTCAAATGTATAAGGCATTATTGAAAAAGACAACTGGAGAATTGTACAGCAAGAGGAAAGTGCTGCTTTAAATTGGCTTGTTTCTCTTTTCAGAGAGATTAGGCAGAGAAACAGAGAAAACAGTTAACCCCACCAGTCTCATCCCTCACCACACAATGGAGGCAATGGGCACCTTCTATTCTACAAGATGCACTTCAGGATCTTGCATGGACATTAAACACCATCCAAATCTTCAACCTCCACAACCTAGAAGGATGCATGGAAACATTACCATCACAACCATTCTCTCAAAGTCAAACATCATCCAGTCATCAACATGCATCATTCCTTCATTATTGCTCAAACTCTTGGAACTCTCTTCCTGACAGCACTGTGAAGGACCTTCACTATGATAACTGGCGTTCAATATGGCAGCTTGCTCCCACCTTTTAAAAAGGGAAACGAGGGATGGAAGGGCTCAAATTGTGAAAGTGAGGTAAAAAAATTAAAGCAGCTGTGCAAAATGAAAACACAGAAAATTAAAAAAAAACAAGCTGGGTGACACAGAGCACATGGACTGAGAAAATGAGACAGCTTGCAAGAATTCATGTTATAAATACCTGAGATGATCTTGTGCTTTATTTTTTCTCATTTTTACCTTCTTCCCCCTTTCTCCATCACCAATCTCCTTCTTGAACAGTTTCCCCAATTCCTTAATTCGGTCTTTTCTAAGAGATCTAGATTGGCATGCAGAACGTTAACATTAGGACCATGTTTATACTCTCAGGAAACTGTCTTTTTGCTTTGAACATGAATAAGTAGTATTTGGAAACAGTTCAGATTTTTTAACAGTTGCTCCAACCTCATCCATGCGTCCACACTTTCTACCCAGATCATGGAGTATCAGTCCCAAGCAAAGAAGTGACTGATGTATATACTCTTTTTCTGCAGAGCTATGAATAGCATGTAGCAATTGTTTCCTTATTGATGTAAGCTAATTCACTACATGGAAGGATGGAAGCACAGACAGGAAAACTTCGTTGCATACAGTAATATATCTTGAGGCCAATTTTTAATTTGTGCCAAGCTAACTGATCTGAATTGGGTGACGATGGGTTATGCAACTGTTTGCACAGTATCCTAGGCTCAGCAAGAGAAATGGTCAGTCAATGATGGCTATCAAGTGATCCTTGATAGAAACAGAAAGTGGATGCAGTACAAATAAAATTGAGTTCAAGTCTGATAACACTAACTCAAACTCTAGATTAGCACAGGTAGATCAGGAACATTCACTGTGAACCTACATAATGAAAATTGGTCAACTGGTAACATGAAGGGTGAGTTCAGGAAGGAAAGAAACAATACAAATATCGTTAGTCTGAAATGAAATTATTGAGAATTGTTTAAATTAGAAATGGAAAATGCAGGAATATTTGTGCAATATATTTTTGCGTGTCAGTTTTACAGATCAACCGAAAGCCTTTTGTTTGATCCTCAACAGATTGACGTTATAATTACATGGACATATAGAGCTTCACAAGACATGGGAGGTCAACTGTCTAGGTTTGATCTTTTCCATTCCTTAACAATGTGGAAATATTCAAACAATGCGGCAAACACAGAGAAGTCCTTGCAATATTCAGTTTTCTCCTCACTTTGAGTTTCGATACTCATTTTACACACAGAGGTATGAAAAGTTAAGTGAATCTTGTAAAGATGTTCAATTAATTGAAATATTCAAGTGTCCCATCATAAAGATAAAAAAAAACTCAGTTAGGATTCCCTTCCCTGATCACCATCCTTGGCTCATACTATGATAAAATTGTTAGGAGAGAGCATTACATATGCATGATGTTTGTTCAAATCTTTTGCAGCTTTCCCTGATAAAGTAAGCTCAAGATTATATTCCGTGAAAGCAGCTCGCCTTCATAAAGCCAGTATAATTTCAACAACGGAGAACATTTTCAGTGGTAGCATGCAGATGTAATGAAACTGCCTGCTATTCGAATCAACAGAGAAATTAAGTAAATAAAATGCTTACTCTGAGTTACAGGTCTCTGCATCATCATACACTTGTTCGTCTAATTGGTCTGAAAAAAAGCGATATATCCAATAAGCCTTACAGGAGAAGGGCTTGAATAACAGAATCTGAGCAGCCACAAACAGTAAATTGTTTTAAGCAAAATTTAGGGTTGAGTAAAGACAGTTCAACTGACTATGGGCCTGTGGGAAGAAATCATCAGCTAAAAGGAATAATTAACTCAAAATTAGCATGAAAACTGACATTACATTTCAAACATTTACACCCACATTACGTCATCTAAAAACACAGAATTAGTCTTACATGTATGATGGTGACAAGAATTGCTACCTTACTATTACCTCTCTTGACTCCTCCAATACCTCTGAATTGTCAAAACTGCTTGTTCAACATCCAGTATTGGACAGAACATAAAAACATAAACATGAGGAGGAGTAGGCTATTCAGCCCCTCTAGCCTGCCCTACCCATTCAGGCTGCATAATTCCATCTCCATAACACTGCCCAACTCTGCTCATGCCTCAATTCATCTGCTGCAGAAAACCCTCACTACCCCTTTTTTACTTCTGACTTGACTAGTCTAACATACTGCTGGCTGACCTTTTGCAGGCTTCATAAAATTGAGATCACCCAACACTCTTGTTGCCAATGTCCTAACTTAGACCAGGTTGCATTCACCCATCACCCCTGTGCTTGCTGGCCTACATTAGCTGACAACTCTTCAAGTTACCTGCACTTCTGCAGTTTGACATCTTGAGCTTCTCTGAACTAACCACTCCTTCATTCGCGAGGCCCCCAGACAAACAAAGAATTGGAGTGGGCCAAAAGGCCCCTCAAACCTGCTCTGCCATTTAGTAGCATCATGGCTGATTAGATTGGAACCTCAAATCCATATTCCTGCTTACCCCCTTGCTTACCAAGGATATATCCACTTCTGCCTTAAACATTCAAAGATTCTGTTTCCACTGTCTTTTCAGAAAAGAAGAGTTCTAATGACTCATGACCTCAGAAAAATCACTTCATCTGTTTTAAATGGGCTACATTTTTAAAAATACAAATGAAACCTGTTCCAGATCCTCCCATAAGCAGAAACATCCATTCCACATCTCACCTGTTGCAATCCCTCAAGATCTTCTATTTTTCACTCAAGTACCCTCCTACTCTTCTAAACTATAGCAGATGCAAACCTAGCCTTTTCTCATAAGACAATTTGCCCATTTCATGTTTAGGCTGACAAATCTTTCCTGAACAGCTTCCAACGGATTTAATTCCTTAAATAAGGTGACCAATAGTGTACATAATATTCCAAATGTGTCTCTCCACTGCACAGTATAAATGAAGATTAACTTCCCTTTTGCATTCAAATTCTCTTCGTAACAAATTATACATACAATTTGATTTCCAAATTACTTGTTGTATTTGCTTATTAGCTTTTCTTTTGATACACGCACTAGGATATCCAGATTCTTCTGCATCTCAGAGCTCAGCAATCTGAAATCATTTGACACTTTCCCCAAATTATACTCCATTTGCGAGATCTTTACTCACCCACTTAATGCATCCATGTTCCTTTGTAGCTTCATTACGTCCTCTTCACAACTTATTTTTCTACCTACCTTTCTTTCGCCATCAAATTTTACATACTTTTGATTCCTTTACCCAAGTCATTTATATAAATTGTAAGCAGCTGAGGCCCTAGCACCAAACCCTGTGGCACACCACACATTACATCTCGCCAGCCTGAAAAAGACCCATTTAAGACCCATTTATGCTTACTCTTTGGACCACAAGCTTTCATTTTCCGCAATAAACTTTGATGGGCATTTAGTCAACTGCTTTCTGGAAATCCAAGTACTGTACAGCGCTGGTTCCCCTTTATCTGCAATACATGTTACCTTCTCAAAGAACTGCAATAGATTGGTGTAACTACTTTAACAATAACTGTAAATATTTTTTCCATTACAAATGTTAAGCTAATTGGCCCATAGTTTCCTGCTTTCTGTCTTTCACTTTTAGAACAAAGGACTTACATTTGTAATCTTCAAACCAAATAGGATTCATCCTCAAATCTACGGAGTTTGTAAAATTGAAACCAACACAACTATCACACTTACCATTTCTTTTAAGACTCTAGGATGAAATCCATCAAGACCCACATACTTACCAGCCCACAACTTTGATAATTTACTCAGTACTACTTCAGTAGTGATTGTGTTTTTCTGACTTTCTCCTTCCCTCCCATTTCCTGATTTATCACTGCTTCCGGAATGTTACTTGTATCCTCAGTAATGAAGAGTGATGTTAAATACCTGTTAAATTCATCTGTTATTTCTTTATCTTCAATTATCAATTGTCCAGGCTCACTTCCTAAAGGACCAACACTCACTTTTATTTTACTTTAAACATTAGTACAGACTCTTTTCTGTTTTTATATTTCTGGCTAACATTCCTTTGTATTTTTAAAAAATCTCCTTAGTGTAATCCTCCAGTCTTACAACCATCCCTGAAATTCTCATTCCTTATTCAAATCTCTTGTCTATTTCCCTAACCTTCATCCAATCACTACATAGCTGAGGCCTCATCCTCTTTGTCAGCATTATCTGGGAATGCCTTCCCAAAACCATTCACATTTCCATTCTCTCTGTGCACCCCTCGCCCCCCATCCTCTGTTAACACCTTCCTCAACACCCACTTCTTGGACTAAGTTTTAATTATCTTTCTGCATATTTCTTTGGTCCATTTCATTTTTTTTTATTACGTCCCTGTGAAGTATTTTGGGTAGTTCTCCAAATTAAGAGTGTTATAAGAATGCAAGTTGCTGTTGTGAAATCTTTATACTGTGCTTTTGACATTACATGTTCTGACAACAGCCATTTTAGATCTTCTCCTGTCCAGGACTGCTCCATTAACAAAAGTAAGGAGCTGTGGCCAGCAATACCTCACAGCAGTTCTCCAGTTCCAATGGTGCTATAAGCTAAGGTATGCCTAAATGTTTACAGATTAGTCCAGAAATAAGAATCTAATGATGACCATGAAACCATTGTTGAGTGTCAGAAAAACCCATCTGGCTCACTAATGTCCTTCAGGGAAGGGAATCTGCTGTTGCTGGTCTGGCCTACATGTGACTTGAGGCCCGCAGCAATTTGGTTACTGCGCTCTGAAAAGGTCTAGCCACTCAGTTTAAGGGAGCTGAGGAACAAGCAATAAATGCTAGCTAGCCAGCCAGCGACGCCCATGGTCCACAAGTGAATAAAAAGAAGGATAGGTTATTGAACAGTAGATTTTGCACTTACCCTCATCCACAAAACAGTTCTGTGAACCGCTGAAATTTTTGATTGTGCCAGCCATAAGTAGAATAAAAAGAAAGAAGTAAAATATGTTCTTTTTGTGGTTCTGGTATACATTTTCTTTTCAAAAAACATCTTAAAAATTAATAAAACTTCATATGTGATTGGCAACTTGATAAAAGCTAAACTACCTTGATTTTAATCAAAGTTTGCATTTTATGTGAAAATCTATATGGTTTTGCCCAGAGTTTTAGATTCTGTGATAATGACTTCTTCATATTTAAAATCAGGAAAATTGTAAAATTTGCAAGAATATATATTTAAATCTTTTGTCAATTGATAACATTCTAGTTATTCTTAGTAATTTAGAAGAAGTCCAAGTTCCATAATTTTTTGTCTGAGCAAACTGCAGTTACATTGTTTGAAGGGAAACAGCATCCATCGCAAACTACTGTTTCGGGGAGCTTCCCTCCATCTCCCAAATAAACCCCCTTAATTCTCATCAATTCTCGTGTAGATCACTTTCAATTGCAGACAGTGTCCTTTTCAAATACTATTAGCATAATCAATCTCTGACTGTTGTTAACTTATAATTTTGTGCCTTAGTTGTAATTTCAACTATACTAATTATACTAGTTTGACAACTCTGTGTTACTTCCTCAGTGTATTAAGAAAAACTTTGTTTTCAGAATTTCATTCAAAAAGATCACTTTCCATTGCTTCTATTAAGAATTAACACTTGCATTATGCAAAATTACCTCAAGTATCATTAATGGTACATATAGCTTCCAACACCTTGGAATCTAACCCGTTTAATTTGAGAGTTAATTTTAAAATGTCGGTGGTAATACAACTATATATATAGACATGTATATGTGCTGGTGTTTAAATTCACAGCTGCAAGTTTAATAATCTGGCTACAGTCATTGCCTGGAATCTGGGGAACATTCCCAATGACAGCATTTAAAAGCAACATAAAATTGAATTCAGCCTACCTCTGGCAAGTAGTAAAGTTTGTGTTGTTGGCAGCAATTATTTATATTGCCTCATCAATGTTACCTTCACCATCGACACAGCAAAAAGCCACCTCTAGTTGCTATGCTATAATTTGTAAATCTCAAATGAATCATTCGTTTATCTTATTGCTGCTTGTGGGATCAGACTGTGCATGCATGGGTTATACATCTGCCCATTTATCAATAATAACTGCACTGCCAAAAGTAACTTCTTCCATTTTATAAAATTCTTCTAGATATTTCTGAGACACACTCAGATGTTATATAAATGCCAATCTTGCCAACATCATAATTCTGCCTTTAGTCAGTGTTCTCACCAACAACAGCGCTGTGCTGTAATATTATTACTTTTAATCTTTCACACTTATTATATGTTCTACGGTTGCTAAAAATTATGCAGAAAACTCTCAATATGTACTTGCCCAATAGTCTAAAACTTAATTTTGGACATCAAGTAAGAGTTTCAGTTTACTGTCCAATCATTCTCAATAGGAGAACAATATCCATTTATGCACCTCAGTTTTTGACTTGCTGACAAATTGCTCGAGTTATCGTAACCGTGGGATACAGATCCTATTAAGAAAGAAAAACAAAGACGTACAGTCAAAGCAAGAGGTGAAAATACAGTTAACAGGTATAATTTTCATTTTGCAGTTTCCATTTTAATCTCTTATTACAACTCAGCAATAAAGATATTAAAAGGAGAAACTAACTTTCCAACATCCATAACAGGAACAAAATGTTCACTGCACCTAATCAACTGGATGTAAACTTGAAGTTGACTGCTATAAAATTGCATTCATATTTCAATCCTATTACTTGATGCTTACAGTGCATGTAATTTTACTATCTGGATATATACCATCAATCTACGAGTGTCACCAATTTGGCTTTATCAACAGAACATGCAATGGATGTGAGAATTCATCACATTGTATAATTTGTTTTCAGGCCCTTGGCCCACTGGGTTTGGGAAGAGGGGGTGGGGTGGTGGTTCCCCTTTTGCCTTTTGTTTAAAAAGGACCATCGCCTCTGAATTTCTGAATCTGATTTCTGAAGAAGGGTCCCGACCCAAAACGTCCTGCTCCTCTGATGCTGCCTGGCCTACTGTGCTTTTCCAGCTCCACACTGTGGTATCGCCTCTGTAGAGATCTTTCTAGATTGCAAGTATGTGTGTTTATGTGTGGGATTAATGGGATAGAGTTAGAGTTCCAGATCTTTGCTTAGGTGTTTGCCACTTGCTTAAAACAAGTTTTATTCAAAATAAATTTGAGATCCTAATAATGCTGAGTTAATTAAAAAGAACCACAGTAAACATTGGGAGATAGCAGGAACTGCAGATGCTGGAGTCAGAGATAACAAGGTGTAGAGCTGGATGAACACAGCAGGCCAGGCAGCATCAGAGGAGCAGGAAAGCTGATGTTTTGATTCTGGAGCCTTCTTCAGAAATGGAGGAGGGGGAGGGTGCTCTGAAATAAATAGAGAGAGGGGGAGGCGATGATAGAAGGTAGATAGAGGAGCAGATAGGTGGAGAGAAGATGGACAGGTCAAGGAGGCGGGGATGAAGCCAGTAAAGGTGAGTGTAGGGAGGGAGTTGGTCAGTGAGGAGAGAGGGGCGGGTACGTGGGAGGGAAGACTGACAGGTCAAGGAGGCGGGTACGAGATGGGCTAGTCTTGGGAGGAGGTCGGGGGCAGGGAGATTTTGAAGCTTGTGAAGTCCACATCGAGACCATTGGGCTGCAGGGTTCCCAAGCGGAATATGCGGTGCTGTTCCTCCAGCCTTCGGTTGGCATCGTTGTGGCACTGGAGGAGATCCAGGATGGACATGTCGTCCAAGGAGTGGGAGGGGTAGTTGAAGTGGTTTGCTACTGGGAGGTGCAGTCGTTTGTCACAAACCAAGCGTAGGTGTTCCACAAAGCGGTCTCCAAGCCTCCGCTTGGTTTCCCCGATGTAGAGGAGGCCACATCGGGAACAGTGGATACAACATACCTCATTAGCAGATGTGCAGGTGAACATCTGTTTAATGTGGAAGGTTTTCTTGGGGCCCGGGATGGGGGTAAGGGGGGAGGTGTAGCACTTCCTGCAGTTGCAGGGAGAAGTGCCAGGGGAGGTGGGGCTAGTGGGGAGTGTGGAGCAGACGAGGGAGTCACAGAGAGAGCGGTCTCTCCGGAAGGCAGATAAGGGTGGGGAGGGAAATATATCCTTGGTAGTGGGGTCAGATTGCAGGTGGCGGAAGTGGCGAAGAATGATACTTTGAATCCGCAGGTTGATGGGGTGGTACGTGAGGACAAGGGGAATTCTGTCTTTGTTGTTATTGCAGGGAGGGGGTGTGAGGGCTGAGGTGCGGGAAACACGAGAGATGCTGTCAAGGGCATTTTCAACCATTGAGGGGGGGAACTTGTGGTCCTTGAAAAATGAGGACATCTGGGATGTCCGGCAGTGGAATGCCTCATCTTGGCAGCAGATGTGACAGAGGCGAAGGAATTGGGAATAGGGGATGGCATTCTTGCAGGAAGGTTGGTGAGAGGAGGTGTATTCTAGGTAGCTGTGGGAGCTGGTGGGCTTGAAATAGATAGCAGTTTCCAGGTGGTTACCAGAGATGGAAACAGAGAGGTCCAGGAAGGAGAGAGAAGTATCAGAGATAGTCCAGGTGAACTTAAGGTTGGGGTGGAAGGTGTTAGTAAAGTGGATGAACTGTTTGAGCTCGTCGTGGGAGCACGAGGCGGCGCCGATACAGTCATCGATATAACGGAGGAAGAGGTGTGGGATGGGGCCAGTGTAGCTGCGGAAGAGGGACTGTTCCATGTATCCTACAAAGAGGCAGGCATAGCTTGGGCCCATGCGGGTACCCATGGTCACTCCTTTTGTCTGTCAGGAGTGGGAGGAGTTGAAGGAGAAGTTGTTAAGGGTGAGGGCGAGTTCGGTTAAGCGTCAGTGGAGGGGGACTGGTCGGGCCTGTGGGACAGGAAGAAGTGAAGGGCTTTCAGGTCACCTGCATGGGAAATGCAAGTATATAGGGACTGGATGTCCATGGTGAAGATGAGGTGTCAAAGACCAGGGAATCGAAAGTTTTGGAGGAGGTGGAGGGCATGGGTGGTGTCATGGACGTAGGTGGGGAGTTCCTGGACCATGGGGGAGAAAATGGTAAACATTTATTTTTTTCTGGATTGCAGTACCAAAGAGAAGCAATTGGCTATTTTGGTAACTGGATCAACAAACTTATACTAATGGTGTGACTGGTGGAGTAGTGGATCTTAATTATTAGAGGACTCCTCCCGTCACAGTTGTAACACCATCTTTCCTGGAACTCCCACATTTGTATCCTTCCAATCAGGATTCCACGTACTGAAACTACTCTCAAAGTCACAATTGACTACTTACATGACAGACAAAAGTAAACTTTCCCTCCTTGACCCTCTCAACTTATCTGCAGCCTATGACATGGTTACCAAAACCCATTCTACTCCGGTGCCACTACACTGCCATCCAGTTGGGCAGAACGGCTCTCTTGTGATTCCATTTTTTAATCAATCAGTCTAATCGTAGCCAGAGAGCCTTTTGAAATGATTTCTCTAAGATCTGTACTTAACTCCTCCCATTTCTTATCTACATGCTCTTGGTTACATCGGTGAAAAACACAGTATTAGGTTTCATAATACACTAATGACTGTTACTAAATGATCGCAATTCTTATTTGACATCCATGACTGGATGGACAGAAATTTTCTCCAAAAGAAAGACTGAAGCCATTATTTTTTGGCAGTTCTCACTCCAAACTCTACTCTTTGATGACCAACTCAATCCTTCTCCCCAGCAACAACCTAGGATAAAGACAGTCCACTTCCAACCTTGGTATCACATGCAATCCTGAGATGAACATCTGAACCAATATTGATGTCATCGGTAGGACTGTCTATTCCCACCTCCATTACAATTCATCTGCTGCTGAACCCTTCATTCATGCTCCATTGTCTCCAAACTTGCAATTCCCATACGCCAATGCCAGGTCTTCCACATTTTAATCTCCGTAAACTTGAACTCATCCAAAGGTCTTCCACATTTTAACATGCACTCAGTCCTTTTCCTCTATCACGCTGCACTTGTATACATACATTAAAATTCTCTTGATTTCAAATCACTCAATGACCTTTCCCTCCCCATCTCTGTAATCTCCTTCAACCCTACAACTTCCCAAGAGATCTGTGCTGCTCTATTTCTGGTCAGTTGTTCATTGCTCGTGGCTATTCCTTTGCTCTGTTTAGACATTCCTTAAAATTTAAGTCTTTCACCAAGCTTTTCATCATGTGGCCTAATATCTCAAGTGCTTGGTGTTATAATTTGTTCTACAATGCTCCTGCACTAAAGGCATTGTATAAATTTATGAAAGTTGTTTTTAGTTACTCTCCAGATCATTAATCCAGGCCTCTGGATTACTAGTTTAGTAACATTATCACTGATCTACCATAGGCCAACATGAATCTCTTATACATGGTCTTTGATATCAGATAAGTATTTTGGTGTTTTGAGTGGAAGCTATGTTATCAACAGAAGAAAAGATATCTTGTCTTTGAGGTCAATTGACAAACTTTAACAGTTGCTGAACTGAATAATCTGCTTTTATTTCTCTCAGCAGATATCCCCCATCAACCACCTCAACAATTTCATCTTTCATTACATATGAATCTAATTATGAGTATCCTTCCACAAGAAAAGAATCAAAACATGTAATTTTTAGCATTAAAACTAATCAAAAAATATAAATCTTACCAAATTCAGGTTGCAGGGTATACAAGGAACTGCAGTAAAATATTAAAAAAGGTTAAGGCACAGAGTTTTCTTGAAACTGAAAAAAGTTTTAAAATTATTTGTTCATTTTCTTAAAAAAAAAGTCAGTGAACCTAATTATTGTATACATGGTGTCAATCTTACCTTTCATGGCCTTTTTTCTTTTCTTTTCCTTTCTGTAAGATTTTTGTCAGGGGGTTCATCTTATTTCCACTGTCCGTGCACCATAAAATGTAAGAATATATTTATATAAAGGCTTGACGTACAATCGAGTTTTCATTGTCTAAACCTGAATATGCATCTAAATGGGTAGCACACTATATTACATTTTCTTATCTGTGTAGACTCATTTGAGTTTTCAGTAAAAGTGAACAGGTGCTACTAGTGGTTTTGTTCTTGCCATTTACAATGACTGTTACACTATCATTTGTTTCCCTTTGACTTGTATCACCACTCCTCTTGGGCCTCTGATGTGAACATAAAAGATTCAATGGCTCCATTGACAACATCCGAAAATCAGACGACCTGGGAATCATCACTTTGCTATGGTTTATGGAAACTTACAGTGCACACATTGGCTGCCACATTCCCACTGTAGTGGCTTCAATTCAATTTCTCACTTAATCCAGGAGGGCCAGTTCAGAAAGAGGAGGTGTGGCACAAAAATAAGCATCAATTTATTGCTTTGGAGTTTTTTTAAAAAATTAATCATTTAAACTAATATGTAATGAATCAAAATGGCCCATAAAAGAAGTGCCAAGCAGCAGATCTAATCAATAAAATCCTTTTTGTTGTCATCTCAGTGAAGAAACAAAGCTAGAAAAAGACAGATTCATCCCCAAGTCCCCATCACCAGGGAAGGGGTTGGGTACTACAGCCAAATGAAGGAATTGATTTTAACTAACACTGACATTGTGTCCAAAATGTAGCAGCAAATTACTGCAGGTGCTGGAATCTGTACTAAAAACAACAAATGCTGGAGATCACAACTGGTCGGATGGCGTCCATGGAGAGAGAGTAAGCTAACATTGCGTCTAGATGACTCATCAGGTTTGGATTTCTTCTTCCCACATAAACACATGCCCTTGCTTGCTTTCACTGCCTCCCACGCACTCACTTGCTTTCTTTCTCTCACACACGTGCTCTCTCTCTGTGTCACAGACAAAGGTCTGCTTCATAACCTTGAATGCAGATATACAGGAGTTAGCACCCACTAGTGATGGTGTCTCTTTTCTCATGTCCTGCTGCCAGCTTTATCCCTGGCCTTGCTTGCCACCTTGAGCCCATGCCCTCTCTGTCTGCCAACTAACATCCTGTCCTTTACAGCAGCCTATCAGGAATGGGGTGTTCGATCTCCATTGCTCTCCCTGGGCCACGACCAGTGCCAAGCTCTAGTTTTGTCTTCACCCTGAATCTCCAGCTCTCCAAAATTTCAAAATGGTTGTCCCTATATTCTTTCCACTGTTTCCTATCGATTCAGAGACGTATTCTCATCCACGTTTGCTGCTGATAGATTCAGCAGTCAGCCTACTAGGAAAAAACAGCCTCCGATTGGTCAAGAAGCTGTGCAGCATTTTTGAAAAGAACAATTTTTTTTTCTATGTGGGTCTCATAGTCCAGCGGTTATGTCCCTACCTCTGAGCTAGGAGGCCCGAGTTCAAGTCCCATCTCCTTCAGAGGTTTGTAATAACACCTCTGAGGAGGTTGATTTGAAAATATGGATTGTAACTACTTCCATGGATAGGACAAGAACCCTTCCACTGTAAACGTGAACAATCTGGGGCTGCGTGTTCGACACATCTTCTGTATACGGTTATTGAGACATGATAAACTGCATCTTGTTATCTAAGACAAGTGCCTCTTCTGCAGACACTTATTCATGATCCATCCTCCACCTCAGACGACTGGACAGCCCCTTTGATTACATTGGAGAAGAGGATTGGTGGCAGTCCACATCAACCACAGGACAGTAGTGGTTGATACCCAGCTATCACAGATTGTAGCAAGTTGTTGCAATACATCTTGTGGATGAAGTACACTGCTGGTACTGTGCATCAGTGGTGGGGGGAGCAAATGTTGATGGTGGAGAACAGTGTGCTAATCAAACAGGCTACTTTGTCCTGGATGATGTTAAGCTTCAGGAATGTTTTTGGAGCTGCAAACATCCAGGCAAGTGGGGAGGATTCCAAAACACTCCCGACTTGTGCCTTGCAGATGGTGGATAGTCTTTGGGAGTTAAGAGCTGCTCACTGCAGAATTCACAGCTTAGTTGCGATCTTGTAGACATAGTATTTACACGGCTGGGTCAGTTCGGTTTCTGGTCAATGGTTACCCCTAGGATATTCATAGTAGGGTTTTTAGTGATTGTAATGTCTTTTAATGTCAAAGAGTGGCAGAGGTTGGTGGTGGTTAGGCTCTCTTGTTGAAGATGGTCAATTGTGGGTGGTTGGGGTGGATTGCTACCACCAAACCTTCTGAATATTGTGTGCTACACGTTTTTAAAAATTCTTTGATGGATGCATCTCTGACAAACCAGTTATTGTTGCTCATCCCTAATTGCCCTTGAACGGAATAGCTAGCTTGAGAATTTCAGAGGGCAGTAGGAAGTCAAACATGTTGCTGTAGGTCTGGGGCCAAATGTAGGCCAGGTCAGGGACAAATGGCAGATTTCCTCCTGTGAAGGACATTTGCAAACCAAATAGGTTTGCACAGCAATTGATGATAGTTTCACAGTCACTGTTTCGGAGACCAGCTTTCATTTTCAGATATCATTCATTACATTTAAATCTCACCAGTTGCCATACTTTAATTTTAATCCATATCCCCAGAGCACTGGGCTGAATTTCTTGAATGAAAATATTTCTTTGATCAAAATAAATAGCAATATGTGCAGAAAACAGGGGATTAAGACCACTTTGTATGTAACACATGTACAAATTGCCATAATCCCATAGGACCATTAGAGAGAGTGGTGATGAGAGTTTAACCTGAGGCTCATCATTCCCCAGGCCAGGGTCGAGGTTGAGAAGACAGGAACTCAGCTGGTGAGTCCACATGGTTGGCATCGTTCTGTATCTGCTCAGGTTATATGATACTTAAAGGCTTGCTCACCAACCTGTTTCTTTTCTCTGACTCTTTTTTGGTATCTGTTGCTTCACAGGATTGCCCAAAGCCTTATTTTATTCATGCAATACAAAAACAAGAGTAAATGCAATTTAAAACAAATCTCATTTGTATTGGCGTCTATTGATTAAAACTATAATCTTTTCACAACACAGAACCCCTATTAAAATGAAATTATGGGAGTGCAGTCTGCATAAGTATAAAGAAACAAAGTACATCTCAAACCTCCCATTATAAGTAATGCTGGTAGTAGCAAACAAGGGAAAATGTAATTATCAGCAAGTTATTTGACTGATTACAAGGTGATCGTTGAGCAATTTTCATTGCAATATTAAATCTTAACCCATGATCTTCTCCCAAAAACAAATGAAATAAACATTTCGGAAGCTGAACTAGCATGAACTTCTAATTCAGTGTAGGAATACTAGGCAAGGATTCTCACGGGGGTGAATGTTAACAAAATTTACTACGAATGATGTTCTCTGTAACAGAATCTATTCAAATTCAGGTAATCATACAATTACTCAAATGAGTTAATTTGTTACAAAATCACCTCCAAAGGACATGATAACTTAATAGGCCTGCAATACTTTTAACATAATCTTTAAAGCAAATTTGCATGATTTGGTGGTAAACTGTTGTTTATTTTGGAAAATATTCTGATTGAAATACGTCGAATTCAAAGCTTTTGGGTGCACATTTTTGCTATGGCTGTCAGTTCTCACCAGGCAAAACATTCCTACAGTCTTGATAACACTCCTGCATAATAAATAACAGTTAACTCAACTGAGATTGTGGAAATCCCTCTGGTTAATACTATTAAATGATATGGTTTCATGATAGGAGAACTACTGCATTTGAAGGCATTGGCCAATAGTAGGAATTGAGTATAATACTCACCCTTACTGCGATTTAAATTAAACAGCAAGTTTTAGAGTGAGTTTAAACATGAAAGTCAGGAAGTTTGCTATATTCATACATACAAACACATGAATTAAGAAAAGGAGCAGGCGACTCAGCTGCTTGAACCTACTTCGCCATTCAACTAGATTGTGGCTGATCTGATTACTCCACGTTATCATTTATCCCTGAATACCTTCCACCTTCTTGCTTATCAAAAAATAAAGCTGCCTCTGCCTTAGAAATATTCAAAGGCTCTGCTTCCACTGCCTTTGAGAAAGAACTTTGCAAAACCCTGCATGAGACAAAAAAAAAGCTCTGCTTAAAATGTGTGAACCTTTACTTATAAACAGTGATCCTTAGATCTTGATTCTCCCACAGAAAAGAATATCCTCTGCAGATCTACCCTGTTAAAACCTTCAGGATTTTCTATTTTCCAATCAAGTAACCTTTCATTCTTCTAAACTCAAGCAGATGCAAACCTAGCCTGTATAAATTTTCTATGTAAGACACCCAGCCCATTCCAGGTAATAACTATTGAACTGTTTCCAATGCTTAAATAAGTATCAAATACTGTACGCAGTACTCCATATGTGCCCTCACCAATGCCCTGTATAACTGAAGCATAACCTCCCTACATTGTACTCAAATTTCCTTCACATATGAGAACATTTTATTAACTTTCCTAGTTATGCTTTATCTGCATACTAGCCTTTTGTAACTCATGCACGAGGACATCCATATCCCTCTGCATCTCAGAGTTCTGCAATCTCTCCCCATATAGATAGTATGCATTTTTAAAAATTCTTCCTGTCTTAATGGACAATTTCAAATTTTCCCATGTTATACTTCATCTTCCAGATTTGCGCTATGCCCACTCACTTAACAAATTTTCCTTTGTGGCCTCCACGTGGTCTTTACACAACTTAGTTTGCCTTTGTATCATCAGCAAATTTAGCAATCATTTATTCTGTTCCTTCATCCAAGTTATTTTTATAAATTGCAAAATGTTGAGGCTCCAGCACTGCTCCCCTGTGGTATACTGCTCATTCATCTTGCCAAACAAAACCCATTTATGCCTACTCAGTTTCCTGCTAGCTAGCCAGTCACTCACTCCCTACATGATGAGCTTTTACTTTCTACAATAATTGTTGATATGGCACCTTATCAAATGCTTTTTGGAAATCTAAGTACAGAAAATTCACCAGTTCCCCATTATCCATAACACTGCCTTTACTTTTTCAAAAGGACTCCAGTACATTACTTAAACCAGATCCCTTTCAGAAATCCATTGTGACTCCGCCCAATTACCTTAACTTCTCTAACAGCCCTGCTTTAATTTCATTGGGTCAGACATTATGAAAGGCTTACCACAAATCCTGACAGTGTTCAGCAATTCAGATTCCCTAAATGTGGATGGGATCTGAGCCATTGACTCATACAAATACTTATTTGCATATTTGAGTCTGATAATGAGTCCGAGTGAGAAATTGCTCCCAGAGTGAGAGATAGCCAACAAGCTATAAAAGGGTGCCATAGAAACTGTGAGGGTCTTCTTGATAGACCTTGAAAATAAAAACATTGGAAAAACTTTGGAGTAATTGGCCTACAGCACATGCGCGTGGATGTCACAGCTGTGTACACAGCATTGGCAGTTTGGGCGTTCCAGGGGCAGAGAGTTTGGACTTTGAAACAATGTAAAAAGTTCCGGAAACTCAAAAGGTAGAAAAACAAAAATCATACAGTGGTAGATGCGGTTGCTGTTTCCAATGATAAAGTAAATGAGAATTCAGAGCATCAAACTCTTCTGATGTTTCGCTAAACTGGCGTAGTGTTAGGCCGTGAAACACAGGCAGTTGTAGTTGCTGAGATAGTAGGAACTGCAGATGCTGGAGAATCTGAGATAACAAGGTGTAGAGCTGGATGAACACAGCAGGCCAAGCAGCATCAGAGGAGCAGGAAAGCTGACGTTTCGGGTCGAGACCCTTCTTCAGAAATGGAGGAGGGGAAGGGGATTCTGAAATAAATAGGGAGAGAGGGGGAGGCGGATAGAAGATGGATAGAGGAGAAGATAGGTGGAGAGGAGACAGACAGGTCAAAGAGGTGGGGATGGAGCCAGTAAAGGTGAGCGTAGATGGGGAGTTAGGGAGGAGATAGGTCAGTCCAGGGAGGATGGACAGGTCAAGGGGGCGGGATGAGGTTAGTAGGTAGGAGATGGGGGTGGGGCTTGAGGTGGGAGGAGGGGATAGGTGGGAGGAAGGACAGGTTAGGGAGGCAGGGACAAGCTGGGCTGGTTTTGGGATGCCGTAGGGGGAGGGGAGATTTTGAAGCTTGTGAAGTCCACATTGATACCATTGGGCTGCAGGGTTCCCAAGCGAAATACGAGATGCTGTTCCTGCAACCTTCGGGTGGCATCGTTGTGGCACTGCAGGAGGCCCAGGATGGACATGTCGTCTGAGGAATGGGAGGGGGAGTTGAAATGGTTTGCGACTGGGAGGTGCAGTTGTTTGTTGTGAACCGAGTGTAGGTGTTCTGCAAAGCGGTCCCCAAGCTCCCTACGCTCAGTTTGCAACAAACAACTGCACCTCCCAGTCGTGAACCATTTCAACTCCCCCTCATGCTCCCACGAGAAGCTCGAACAGTTCATTCATTTCACCAACACCTTCCACCCCAACCTTAAGTTCACCTGGACCATCTCTAATACCTCTCTCACCTTCCTGGACCTATCTGTCTCCATCTCCAGCAACCACCTAGAAACCGATATCCATTTCAAGCCCACTGACTCCCACAGCTACCTAGAATACACCTCCTCCCACCCACCTACCTGCAAAAATGCCATCCCCTATTCCCAATTCCTTTGCCTCCGCCGCATCCCAGGATGAGGCATTCCACTCTCGTACATCTCAGATGTCCTCATTTTTCAAGGACTGCAACTTCCCCCCCTCAGTGGTCGAGAACGCCCTCCACAGTGTCTCCCGCATTTCCCGCAACTCATCCCTCACACCCCCTCCCCGCAATAACAACCAAAACAGAATCCCCCTCATCCTCACGTACCACCCCACCAACCTCCGGATCCAACGCATCATCCTCCGACACTTACACCATCTGCAATCCAACCTCACCACCAAAGACATTTTTCCCTCCCCACCCTTATCTGCTTTCCGGAGGGACCACTCTCTCCGGGACTCTCTTATCCGCTCCACACACCCCTCCAGCCCCACCACACCCGGCACTTTTCCCTGCAACCGCAGGAAGTGCTACACCTGCCCCTACACCTCCTCCCTCACCCCCATCCCAGGCCCCAAGAAGACTTTCCACATCAAGCAGATGTTCACCTGCACATCTGCTAATGTGGTATACTGTATCCACTGTTCCCGTTGTAGCCTCCTCTACAATCGGGGAAACTAAGCAGAGGCTTGGGGACCGCTTTGCAGAACACCTACACTCGGTTCGCACTAAACAACTGCACCTCCCAGTCGCGAACCATTTCAACTCCGCCTCCCATTCCTCAGACGACATGTCCATCCTGGGCCTCCTGCAGTGCCACAACGATGCCACCTGAAGGTTGCAGGAACAGCACCTCATATTCCGCTTGGGAACCCTGCAGCCCAATGGTATCAATGTGGACTTCACAAGCTTCAAAATCTCACCTCCCCCTACCGCATCCCAAAACCAGCCCAGCTTGTCCCCGCCTCCCTAACCTGTCCTTCCTCCCACCTATCCCCTCCTCCCACCCCCATCTCCTACCTACTAACCTCATCCCGCCCCCTTGACCTGTCCGTCCTCCCTGGACTGACCTATCTCCTCCCTAACTCCCCACCTACACTGACCTTTACTGGCTCCATTCCCGCCTCTTTGACCTATCTGTCTCCTCTCCACTTATCTTCTCCTCTATCCATCTTCTATCCGCCTCCCCCCTCTCCCTATTTATTTCAGAACCCCCTTCCCCTCCCCCATTTCTGAAGATGGGTCTAGGCCCGAAACGTCAGCCTTCCTGCTCGGCCTGCTGTGTTCATCCAGCTCTACACCTTGTCATCTCAGATTCTCTAGCACCTGCAGTTCCTACTATCATTGGGAAAGTTCTTCCTTTCAAAAAGTGTAGGTAAAATTAATGCAATGGCATGAAGCGATGACTGGTTTCTCCCCAAGATGGAGCAAATCAAAGAGAAATTAAGGAGATTAATATTTCATGCTGCATTCTAACCTTTCCACAATGAGCAGAATTCTGGGCGTTCTGTTTATGTGGTGGAGAACTGCAAGTTTAACAAGATTTAACAAGACTTCAAAAATTTGAATACACTTAGGAAAAAGGTAATAACTGCAGTTTTTTTAAAATTTACTGCAAGTTCTGTATTGCAAAATGTAAATTTTAAATCTTGCTAAATTTTAGGATTCTAAATTTACAGATCAATTGGACATTATTAACCATTGAGCGACTAACCAGTATTACAGTGGATTTTGTTTGTATACATTTAAACAGGTTTCAACAGCGATCTAGCACAACAAGGGACACAGGAGTTTTGCAAATTCAAAACTTTACCTACAGGCATTGCATTTGGACTAGAGACTTCGCCTTTCAGAAACTTGATCTTGATAAATTAGGCCACTGGTTATGTTCTGAGATCAGAAGTGTTTTACAATAGGAGATGTGAAAGTAACCTTTAAACTGAATGCAAATCACTCGCATTTCAGAAATAAAAGCACCATTTAAAACTGCAAAGTCTGCATATAATCATTTCGGATATTGGGATTGATAAAGTTACTTCTTACAGGCTTCAATTTCAAGTACCTCGAAGGAAAAATTACACGAAGTTTAAAGGGAGCAAACAAACTTAAAACTTAAAATTAAAGTAAGTCAATGAAACAGCCTATGTACTTTTAATATGTTTTTTAAAAAGTGGCAAAGATCATGTGGAAGGAAATAAGCTGACCATCAACAAAACCTGCCAATTCAACGACATCTTTTAGGCTGTACATTAAAAAAAAACCTCAGGAGTGTTGTTCCTGTATTTGAATTTGCAATAATTTTAAAGGAAAAGTTGAGCATAACCTAGCAAGATGGTTTATAGAAAATTACTTCTTTTAAACAAAAAAGACAGACCAAATAAACAAAATTTGATAATGTTTGAAACCACATGGTAATGTTTGATTTCTGTTTAAACGTATTAAAAACATCTTTTTATTGGAAAGTTTCTGAATGAGATAGAATGGTAATTAGTGGAATGTCCCAATTAGAACAATGGAAAGTAACAAGAAAAATAGCACAATACCAAATAGGAATGATTCACCTTAGGTGCCGTTAAGTGCAATATTCAAAGTGAAAGGAAGGTACATGTGACAACTTTCTCTCGGAAATATATGAATCCTTGCCTATGAAGATTTTAAGACAGTTCAGTGCTTCAGCCACCACCCAAAACACTGGGACCAAGCTGGGATGATATGTATGTCCTCCTTCTCCCACTCACTTTTGATCTTTCAATGAGTTTACTTTAAAGTCAAGAACGTGCGGCACGACCTTAGGATGTCGGTCTAAGCACGCAGAGATGATTTGTTACATCTGAAGTAACTGGCATGAGGAATACATGGTAAAAATGGTGAAAGAAGAACATAGCCGTTGAAAGTATCTACTTGACAAAATGTAGATTGTGACCTGAAGAGCAAGAAAACATAATTTAAGTGATTAAGACAATTAAAATTAGGAGGTGAGACAAAGGCAAAATTAAAGGAAAAGAAATGTTGAATCAGAACAATTGAACGCTAAGAGGAAAATACTCAAATTTATCCAAAAAAAAATCAGTACAGGTGAAGGACAAGCTGCAGAATTGTTTGAGTGCATGCATAATCTGTTGTTGTAATTGTATTACCATAACCAGCCAAAGACAGCCCAAAGTCCACAGAAGATAACAGGCTAGTTTCAATCAGGAATCAGGGAAAATAAAGAGAGAAATCCAACAACTTGATCCAAGGAAAGCAAATAAAAAGGGAGCCAAAGGGGAGAATGAAACCAGGCAAAGAAGTGCTCACTATTAGAGATATAGACCTAGTATGTCACAAACTAATGTTAGGACAGTCAGAAGCCTTCCTTCTGCTTCTAATCCATTACGACAAGTTCTTGGTCTCTGTATCATATCTAAATTGTTGCTTCTTGACTAAATTAATAATCTCTGGAGATTCCTTATGAATCATTACCTGTATTAGGTTACAGCGGTCCCAAATCCAAAATCTAACAAACATGGCATTCCTAAGAGGTCCCAGATAGTGAGTTAAACTAATCATCTCCAATTCCCAAACATTACCAGTTTTTCAAACCTAACGTTTACATTTACCTTACATTTCAAAATTTCAAAAGACAAACTAAAATTTGTATTCCTAAAACACATTAAATTATGAAATTACAGGTTTGTAACAATATTTCTGTGTAACCTAACAAGTTGAAACATATTAACCAATTATAGGCAATGTGTTAAAGAAATTTAGTAACATTTAACCTATATAATCAATTAATGAGTTAAGTAGAACAACATTCTAAGAAAACACTTACCAACACTTTGAAGTGGTGATGTGAAACATAGTTCAGGTGGTCTGTGGAAGAATTGTCCCTATTAACGAAATATGCAACTTCCAAACTATTTTCTATACCTTGCATCTTACAGTTTAATGCAAATGAATAAAATGAGCTTTTGTTTTATAACAGAAAATTAACTGTACTCATGATTTTGACAAGTTAACTGCTACTTAAAATACAGCAAAACATTTATTTTTGCAGCTGACAACATTCCTGAAAATGATCTTAAATTCAGCACAGAAGTCTGAGAAAGGCTTAGAGAGCAGGTACCACAAGTTTGATCCATAAGGAGGCATTTGGCCCATAATGCTAAACTCCACTATAATCAAGTTTACAAGGTGAAGAAATAGTGTCAATGGCTAGCAAAGAATCAAAAAAAAAGGAGGAAGAAACTAAAATAAAACGTTGGGATTTAATCAAGTAATTCTCAAGTATTGCATGCTATCCACTTTGTAGATTTTTAGATTCACTGAGTTCAATCATTTCACATCATAATGTTAGCTTAGTTGGCTGGACAGCTTGTTTGTAACACAGAGTGTTTCCATCGGCATAGATTCAATTCCTGCACAATGAAGGATTCTCCTTCTCAACATCTTTTGTCATCTGAGGCATGGTAACTCTCCAGTTAAACCAACAGCAGTCATCTTCCTCTAATGAGAGAGCAGCCTTATGGTCTGTTAAGTCTATCTTTATTTACACACCATCTCAATCCATTTTTTTGTTTTTTTTTAAACTGGTTTGTCATTGTCTTTTAGCTCGTTGATTTGCACTAAATTCCTTCTGTCATTTAGTTTTGCTTACTTTCCCCTCTAGGGTGGCACAGTGGTTAACACTGCTGCCTTACAGTGCCAGGGACCTAGGTTCGATTGCACCCTCATGAGACTGTCTGTGTGGAATTTGCCCATTCTCCCTGTGTCTGTGTGGCTTTCCACCAGGTGCTCCAGTTTCCTTCCACAGCCCAAAGATCTGCAGGTTAGAAGGATTGGCCATGCTAAATTTTCCATGGTGTCCAGGCTAGGTCGGTTAGCCATGGGAAATACAGGGTTACAGGACTAGGGTAGGAATCTGGGTGGGATGCTGTTTGGAGGGTCAGTGTGGACTTGATGGGTCAAATGGCCTGCTTCCACACTGTAGGGATTCTATGATTCTATCACAAACTTTTAGATGTGAAATCTCGATTATGCAGGTTTCTTTGCAGCCTGTCGAGTCTTAGATTTAAAGCAGCTATTCTTTCACTCAACAGGTTCTCTGCCAGAAGTCAGCATGATTGTGCAAAGGAGGCTGCAGTAGCAGTTTGGGAGCCTGCAGTTGCTCCTGGAGCTGTGCAAAGGAACGATCCATAATTCTGTGGGGTCCGGGTGAAGGAGAGGATCTCAGTTCTTATCCCTAGGGAGGATGTCCAATTCCCAGTTCCTGGGAATGTCACAGGGTGTGGGTTGATGTTCAATGACAAGGGGGTATAATTTTAAAATGTAATGCAAGACGTTTAAAGAAGGGATGGGAGGAAAAATGTTTTCACCAAGAAGGTGATGGAATTCTGGAATGCACTGCCTGGGGAGGACAGTTGAGATGCAAAACCTCAACTTTTAAAAGTACTTGAATGAACACGAAGCGTCATAACATTCAAAGCTATGGGCCGAGTGTGGGAAAATGGGTATGGGTGTAGGCTGCAGTATATTTTTGGCAATACAAACTCAATGGGCTGAAAGGCCTCTTCTGTACTGTATGACTCTATGAACTTATGACAGACCGTGGCAGTCTTTGTGTAGGAGTTTCCAAACGTAGTGTTTGGGGGAAAACGCTCTTGTTTCACTTCACCCTCAAACCGGACCTACTCATTAAACTTGTTCTTGCCTCCTTTCAGTTGCAGGTTTTCCAAGGTCGAAGAAATGCACCAGCCATGAATAAACCTGCAAAGCAGGTCAAAAGAGAGGTTTGTCAGCCTCATTAAAATATTTAGATAGCCAACTTGCATCCGAGGTCTGGATTAGTTGTCGTCCCCTTCTCCCACGTTCCTTAAATACTAGAGATGTGTAGACTGGAAGCCAATTTGGGTTTGGTTTGAGGTATTTTAAGGTTCCAGCAGACCCTAACTTACCTGATTCTGGTGGTAACATTTGACCTTTTGAAATTTTCCATTCCATATGAATGGCAATTGTTAGAGGGAACAGGATATAAAGCAAAGATAGAGCTGCAAGATATATCAACCAAAATGGGCCTGTTCAATTTGGAGACCTAAGAAAGATCTTTATGAAACAGGGAAAACCAAGTAACAATACATTTATTCATTGCTTATTTTGCTATACTAAAAGTAGGTAGATGTTTTGCTGAAGAAACTTGTACTTACATTTCAGAAAGACCAACATCATCATATATTTCCTCAAATGTTTCTGTTTGCTTCAAAATTCTTTTACTAATTTCCTTAATTTCGGCATTATCCATTTTCACAGCATCAATTTGGATGTAACCATCTGTAATATAAAAAAATCAGACTCCTTGATGGACTTTTCAGAGCAACACCGATTAAATATTTCATTAACTGTCACAAACAAGTCTTCATTACATCCTATTGACTAGATTAGTAAGGGTGAAAGCAACTTTTTCAGGACTTTTCTGGGGATTACTTTAAATCTGAATCTAGTTAAAAGCAGATCTGTAAAGTAAAATGTTGTGAGAGCATGAAATCCATTTTTTAAGAGGGCTTTACATGAAAACCCAATGGTGGCCTTCCACCCAGATGTTAATTTACATCACAACAGCGACTAGACTTCAAAAGCATTTCATCAACTGTAAAGTGCTTTGAGACATTCGTTGGGCATGAGAAGTGCTATATAAATGCAAATCTTTCTGTATTGGATGGGAAGGTGTTTGCAAATGAGTTGATCTAAGTGACAAAGGAACAAAGAATCAAAATCATTCCCTGATCCGTGTCACATGTCAGTGGGGTAAGGAACACTATAATGAAGCTGCTAAATTTGTGAAACAAACTGGTCTGATTTGTCTTATACACTTCAAAAATGGAACTCCAGTATAAAGTTCATTTCCAAGTATTACTGGCTATGTTTTAGGAAATAGTCTGGAACTGAAGGGGGAGTTCTTCACCTTAATAATAATAGTCTTTTGTCTCAGGGACATTTTTGTTCCGTTTGTCCTTTCCCCAACTCTTTCTCTCTCATTTTGAGAGCACTGACACTCACTCAGGTTGAAAACATCCTGATATTGCATTTCCTGGAGTGAGAGCTCCCCGGATACTGGTGCTCACTGTAGTACGGTCAATGTATTGAAATAGAGACAGTAACCCCATGCTTCATCATGATCAAAGATTTTTAAATCTAACTATTACAAGTTACTGGGATGCAAGAGTTTATGAAACTAACAGAAATTAAACATATCGTGATAAAGAATAAGAAATAAGAACAGAGAATTATTTACGTACAATTCCCATTGTGAGTTCTGGCCAGCCACTTTCCAGTAGGACAGTCAACCATACGGATAATTTCCACTATTTCACCTTGTTTCACCGTGAGGCCCAGCTTTCCTCCCTTCAAGTGCTGCTGCACTTGAACTTTATATATTGGAAGCTCCAAGCCTGTGAGCTAAACACAAACAAACAAGTAAAACAAAAATTGTCACTAATGACAGTGATGAAAGGAGAAACAGAATTTCTCAAAGCTTGAGGCATTTCAGACCAATCTTCTGTGGTGCAATTAAACTTAATAGCATTCTCTAATTAACTGATTTCTTGCTGTGTGTCTTGCTATGTGATATATATTCTTCCAACCAGAATAACCAATCCATTTAGTATTTTCAACCAATGAAATATTAGCTACTTTAAAATTAGAAATCTACAAACAAAACACATTCCAGTGAAAAATGCTAAGATAACACTGAATGAACCTTTAAGGCTCGAGATGTCACCCATTGTGGTCATAATTACAAACAAATACTTGAAATTATAAAGCTGGTCAGACAGCACAAGAAGAAACAGATTGAATTATGCAAGTTTAGGGCACTGAGGTCATTGGTTCCATTATGCTGGACTAATATAGAATTATTCCAATTGTTCTGTAGTCTCCCAATCTTGTACCTTTCAGTGCTTCAAATGGGCATCCAATTTTTCTCTCAAAAGAACCAACATGTTAATGTTTCAGAGGATCCTTTATTAATGTAATACTTTCAACTGAGGTTGCACACAAAGGAAAAAACACTAAGAACAAAGAACAATAAAAGATGCATCTTAATTAAACTATTTTGTATTTCCAATATTTCTACTTCTAGAAGTTGTATTGCTAGGTATCAGTTTTGAACAAAAATAGCAAGAAAGGCTGAAAAAAACTTCAATGAAAACAAAATCCACAGCTTTTCATATTTTCCTAACATAGGCACAGGAGAAAAGAGAGGATGGTTGGACAGGTTTGACGGTGAATATCTGAAGTCTCTAGGATTGTGAAACAAGAATCCATCTGGGATAAATTTACTGTATTGATTATTGCAACACAGTATGATGTATACTAGAAACCAATCTAGAGGCCAAGCTGCAACTTTGAATTGACTTTTCATTAGTTTAAAGCTTTCGACTGCACAAAGCATGAACTAGTCAGCTGTAACTTCACAATACTTTGTACATACATTGAATTTCTTGTGTAATTCTTTTTCTCTTATTTCTTTACTTTCACATTCCTTAACATGGTCTTGATGTTTCCCTTTTGTTTTTCTGATTTGCAATACATTTTTCAGCTCAACTTCTTCATATTGCTGCTCCGTTTTATTATTGGTTTCTTCATGTATACTGCTACAAAAGAAGGAAAAATGCAAATGCTGTATCAAAGGAAAGAATTCTTTCTTCAAGAAATAAGCCTTACACATTCTTATTTCTGTATTAAAATTCTAAACATGACTTAGCATCACTGGATGATGCAAGAAGATGATGCACAATCCAAAAATACTTGATCTCTGCCAAGTCAGCTGATCTCAAACAGGCTAGTAATGATACCGAATGAAACGTATCTCCAGCAAGGGTCTGCTAGAATGTAAAATCTTATCATACTCAATGACCTCACTAAACAGTAATATACATGAGAACAGTCTATCAAATAGTCTACAACACATAACTTCTAACATATAAATGAATAATGATCACTTTGGTAAGAGAAATATTTGTGACACTGATTATTGTGACTAATAGTTTACTTTGTTTTCCTTTCCTCGTCCCGGAATTTAAATGGACGACCTTTCAGGAAAGTTATCAAGGTGCTGGAGATATCCACACACTTCTAAATTGAAGTCTGTTTCAAATACATATTATAAAAACGTAGAAAGATGCCAATACTGTTGATTGCAACAGACACCTGCCCAAACAAACATATTAACAGATATCGCTAATGTTACAAACACAAGGTTTAGACTATTCCTATGTTTTGTGACTGTTATTACAATCATCTTAAAATGGAGGAATGAGAGTGTTTTGTGGCCAGTTTTGAATTTTGTGCAACAGCAGTATTGGGATACCTGTTTATTAAAGAAGGGCCTGGGTTGTTTCACTGGGAAGATGATGCAAGGTAGACACATCTGTAGAAAATGGTAAGAGCATCTGCGATTGCTGTGGATAGACTGGTAGTGTCCGAGTCTCGTAGAGAGGAGCTCTGATTGAGGTTTTACAAATGATTATACTTTAAACTGTCTATTAATTCCGAGAGAGAATAGAGTTGGGAACGGGTTCTGTAGGACAAATAATTAGCACTTCTAACTGGATACGAGGCCTGATTTAACCGTGTTGCCATGAGGGTGGGTTTTTGAAAGGAAAATTCATAAGAAAGCCAGTGAGGTATCAGATTGCAGGTTTCTTACGATAACTCTAAACCTCAGAGATAGCTCATTGTACAAGAACGTGAGACAGTGTGAGAGCATGGGGGCAGAGAGTGAGAGAGAAAGCAACGGGATAAAAGCAGTCAAAGCTGGTATTGAAACAGTGAAAATTATACATGAAAAATCTACTTAACTCTATTTTGAATAACTTTAAAAGATCCAGCTTCTACTCGCTTCTGGGGAAGCGAATTCCACATACAACAACTCTTTAAAATAATTCTGTTTATCTCCACTTTAAAAGACGGACCTCTAACTGCCCTAATTTTCATCTCCTCTACAGAAGGAAGCAATACATCGAATACATACATAGAATTTCCTGTGTAGTTCTTTTTCTCTTATTTCTTTATTTTCTCATTTCTTAACGTGGTCTTGATGTTTCCCTTCCGTTTTTCTGATTTGCAATACACTTTTCTGCTCAATTTCTTGGTACTGCTGCTCCTTTTTATTATTGGTTTATATCTGGATATCCACCATTATCAGGACCCTCAAGATTTTATGCTTCACCTCTAATTTTTCTAAATTCCAAATTTTACTAAATTCCAATGTGTATGGACTGAAGTTGTTTGACTTTCCTTCATAAGCTTTTTATCCCAAGAACGATTTGAATGAAAATTCCCTGGACTACTTTGAAAGCCATTATAGATTATTTTCAAATCAGGAGATCAAACGTGTTTAAAAGTGTATTCCAGATGTGGTGGCACCAAGGAATTGAACAACTGCAGTAAAGCTTCTCTCCTTTTACTTTCCATTCCCTTTGTGATAAATGACAACATTTCATTTGCCTTGCTAATCTTTCTGCCTTGATATCAACTTTTGTTGTTTGTTGCTGGTTTTCAAAGTCTGCCCAATCCTCTCACCTGCCACTAATCTTTGCGGATATGGGTAGCGTTTCTTTCAAATTTAATACTATCCTTAACTTGCTTGTTTATCCACAGATGATGTGTCCTTCTCAAACTCAAGATCAGAAAAGCTGGAAAACCTTAGCAGGTCTGTCAGCATTTGTGGAGAGAAATCGGAGTTAATGTTTTGGGTCCAGTGACCCTTCCGCAGACCCCTCTTGAGAAAGGCTCACTGGAGCCTAAATGTTAACTCTGACTGCGCTCCACGGATGCTGAGCTCTTCCAGCAATTTCTGTTTTCCAGCATCCGCAGTTCCTTCAGTTTTTAGCCTTCTCATAGGGTCTTTATTTCTCACTGGGATAAATCTTTGATCAGAGTTATTAAATATCTCCTTAAAATTCAACCACTGCAACTCTGTTGTCCTACCTTTCTATTTTACTGCATCCAGTGCTACCTTCATACCCTCAGTTACCTTTATTGTAATACCAGCCATGCACCCACACTTTTCCCTTTCAAACTAAAATTAAATTCTAACATGTTGTGATCACTTTCACCGGAGGCTTGTTTAGCATGAGGTTATTTATTGTTCCTTCTTCATTGCATGTTACCAGATTCTGGAGAACCTGCTGCCTGGCTGAATCAAAGAAATTGTCTGGAAAATACCAAAAGGGCTTTCCTTGGCTTGATTTGTGCTTGAGTTCTTTCATATCTCATGTCAGAACCCACAGCAAAACCTAAAGGAGCTGGTGAGAAATGATGTCGAATAGCAGTAGTCACAGTCACAAGCAGATTTCCAACAAAATCAGAAAAGTCAATGTTTTCGCAAATGAGAAAGCCTGGAGAAGGGAAAAAAACAACACTAGTATTCACATCCTAAACTTTAATATTGGATGAGAACAGATATACCAACATGGCAAGAGATTTTGGCAGTGGGTATGGTTGTGTGAAATACAGTGAACAGTATCCATACGCAAATCTACAAGAACAAATTAGGTGTAGGGCAACAGTAAGGTGGCAGGCTTATGATTTCACTCCAAATTGTAAGCCAGGAAGAGAAATGGTGCTTCTCTCTGTCGCTGCCAAAGGAGAAATAGGGGTTAATACATCTAGTATAAAGATCCAACACTCAATGCATAAAATACCACTAAAATGGAATCAAATCTGAAATTAAAATAGTAAAGATGAAGAGTTGATGCCTCAGCAAATGATACAAGGATGGCTGATAAGATATGGTAAATGGAAACAACCAGAAACGATGTTTCACGAGAAGACAATGTTCTGACTGGACCTAGAATTATCAGACCAAAAAGATGCACATAAATCTTTTCCAGAAGACAAATGAAGGTATTTTAGAATGGAGAAAAGTAATCTCAAAGACAGGACAGCTGGGTTGACATGGAAAAAAATAGTACCTACTGGAATATGTGCCAGGAAGAGGAAATGACAGCTACTGGAGTACAGGGAATAGGCATTTAAGGCAATCCAATTCAGCATCATTTACTTTAATATCATTATGCTATTATAGTCAGAGGTCTCATTAATCTTATAATGTTCAATGTTGTTTACAGTACTCTAGTACCTCACCTGACCAAAGTTGCACAATTGTGGTATGACCACTCCTTCTCAGACTTGAGAGTACTGCCACCCTCTCCCTGTCTACTGCTCAAGCTCTTCACCAGGCACCTTCCACCCATCAGACCCAGACAACTCACAAGAGCTGCTTGCTAGAATCCCTGAAGGGTCACGCAGGCCACTACTGCCCACAGGACCTGACCGGAGACTGCCAAGCTCAGCAGATCTCACACCTCCTCCGCTAAAGTAGTGGCCAGAATGGATGAGCCATTGGAGCAGACTGTGGACCATAACCAGTGAAACAAAGCAGGAGAGCCACCAAACTCATTGTGGACCACAGAATCCATGACCCCAGTACAGACAACAACCTGTAGCTCCCCATGCCTCCCCACCAGTTGAAAGCCACATTTTAATGTAGGAACTGTGCAGCATTGGCCAGCACCACCCAGACAGAGGCAGCAGGAGATGCTCCTGGTTGACACACTGTCAGTGAGGAGGAGAGGGAGGAAGGCCAAAGTCCAGCAGGCAGCCAGGAAGCTTAGTCCCACCAAACAATGGCCTGAGTGGATCCTGGAGATGGAGGTAGCCAGAAAGAGGGAATGGTACTGACCCTTAAAAAGATGGCACCAGGCAGCTATGATCCAGATAGGAATAAGCAATGGTCTCAGCAGGTGGCCCTGAGCCTATTAAGCAAAGGTTCCCTCATGCGGAGGCCCCAGGCAGCAATCTCCCAGCTCCATTCTACAGCAGATGCTGTAATTGAATACTACCGTTTCTAAAATACTTTTACATTTTGTTTTTGTTTTAATGGTTATTTCAATAACCAATGAAGGAATTCAGCATATAAGTACCAAATTTCAATTTAGAGGGTACAGCTGTAATTTTTTTTTGTGTTAGTTAAGGAAGATGCTACAGCCATTAATTCCAATCTTAACATTGGTAACTATTGGAAGAAATGCTTCAAAGTCTTCTCGTTTAAACAAGTCATTTCCAGGAACGAAACTCTGGCCTTCAGTGAAGATCACCCTGTACCACCCAGACTATGGTATAATGTGGGAGCAGAGTTATTCACAATCAAGAATGACATATCAAAGTTTCAGATTACAACTAAAAGGTTCTGTGTTATTCAGACAGCGAAAGGTTTGGCAGCTTCAATGATTATCTCAGCTGAGATCTCACATGGGACCACCGCCACCTGCAAGCTCCCCTCCAAGCCACTCACCATCCTGACTTGGAAATATATCACTGTTCCTTCATTGTCACTGGGTCAAAATCCTGGAATTCCCTCCCGATATATGCTGGCCAGCCAATGACACCCACATCCTCACAAGTTAACAGAAGCTTATGAGTTCTGTTTACCAAGCAAGGGATTCCTGAGAATTACATGAAATAATGGAATACTAGTCACCTCCAGAATGCTGAAGAAATTTGCTGAACATTATGGCTTCAACATCATCAATTCATCAACACATTACCCAAAGGAACTCAGATTTATAGAAAAACGTGCTCAGATGGTCAAGAGAATCTAATGCTGCAATTATGGAAGATCCAAACTTTGCCTTATTGTCACTCTTAATTGCACCAGATAAGGCTGACATGAAATCTATTGAATGGAAGATAATGTAATACTGCTAAGCAAGATGCTGCCTCCAAATGACCAGGAAGGAAGGCAACAACTCACTGATACACAGGTAGGAGGAGGACAACACTTCAATAAGCAGGTTAAATGCCTGATCAAATCACTTAAAAGGACAAATTGTACATGCACAGGATCAAACTGTGAAAAACTGGGACCCAGCAAAAGTTGTCAGTATCTTAGACTCTGAAGTTATACATTATTGAGATCTAAACTGGTAAGCAAAAGAGAAGGAACAGCCACCATATTCAACATGCACTAGAGCTGAAAAAGTTGAAGAGATCAGCAAGAATACTAGTAAGACAACAACAACAGCATCCTTAACAACCAGAGCTACATCAGCAATGTCACCAGATGCAACATTAGCGACACCAAGCACAACTCCCACAAGATCTGAAGTAACATACAGGGTATTGTCAGAATGATGGGTGTCAAATCTACAAGATACATGCACAACATCCTATCACCTAAGGAATGTCATAAGCAATATTTTGAGAGAAGTAAACAAGCCAAATATACTCTTAAATCGTTCAGTGTTATCACGTATATTTTATTTCTGGAAACTAACAACACATGGAAATAGGAAAACAAAAAATGGAATTGAATCAGTCTTAAATTTTTCTAAATATTTTGGATCTCTGAATTACTGTTCCTTTAATTGAAATATTTAAATTGTTCATAGAATACAATTTTAACCTTTTTCTTTCACCCATACCTACTTCTCTAACACTGGATAAGGTTTTGTACATAGAAAGAAAAAGTAGGATACCTTAAACCCAATACGAGAGTAATTTCATATCCGAGTTCTCATTTGTGATCCACTTCTATATCATTTATAGCAAGATTGCTAGATTATAATCAGAGCAGGATCCCTACTTTTTTTCTTTTTCCAGTCCTTAAAACCAATTACAATTCCTCTACCCATCTACCCCAGTTCAGATCAGTTAACATCTGCAGACTGTGATAACCTTTTTGATCTACATGGCTTAACACTATGCCTCTGGATACAAAAACTAGGGATGACAGGAATGATCATTATTGAACCATATGAACGATGCAGAATGGAAAGTTGTAGCACAACTGCTCTGTATTTACACAGAATGACGTATATGGGGTCAACCAAAGGCAAAAAATAGTAAAAAGTGTATCTTTTCGATCTGTGTGGTGAAATCAGATTTAACAAAATATCTTTTAACTGCTATCTTATTCTGAAAAGAATCTCAGGTAGTCTTGTTGGCTCAGATGTCTCAAACGAATTGTTCAATATTTTGGAATATTTACCCTACCTTCTCCATCCACAACGCTTAATGAGTTTGAATAATCATTAGCTATTGTCTTTATCCACTTTACCTTGCAGTGCTTAAAACTGTACATTCATCTGTGTATGATATCGATGACGAAGAGATGCCATTTTTCTTAGATACTGTCAAAAGAAATGTGACATGAGTAGTAAGCTCTGGTTTCTAGTTGGCTTGTTAACATGCTTCCTTAAAGTAACAAAACACGACAGAAGAATGTTGATCAACAAGTTTTTGGAATATACTATCAAAAATAACAAAACTAAGGAAGCATTATTTATCTCTTATTAAACTGCCTGAAAATGTAATTTACATATCTATGTGGTTTGATCAGGTTCTGCCAACTGTGATCAGCATTTGTGATCACCATTTTACAAGAACAACTTGTCCTTATACAGTATCTTTAAAATAATTAAACATGGTTATGTACTTTGCAGGAATGCCATTAGGCAAAAAGTGACACCAAAGTACAAAAGAAGTGTTAGGTTAAATGACCAAAAGCTTGTTCAGAGTACTTTAAGGAGAGATAGGAGGGAATTACAAAGGTTAGAACCCTGGCAACTGAAGGCAAGACCACAAATGGTGTAGCGATTGAAACTGGAGATGCCAGAATTATGGTGTAGTGGAGCTAATTACAAAAATAAGGTGGTGTTGAGGCCGTCAACAAGTTTATGAATGAGGAGAAGAACTGTAAAAAGGCACAACTTCTTTAACCAAGAGCCAATGTAGATCAGAAAAACACAGAGGCTGTGGATGCAAGATTGTTCACAAGTAGCAGTTCTGGATGACCTCATATCTATGGTGTTTGGGAGGGTGTCCAGAAATTGTTACATTAGCCAATTGAGGAGTGACAAAGGCATGGAGGAGGACTTCAACAGCAAATAAGCTGAACCAGTGGTGGAGTCAGGCTTGACTCAGAGGTTATAATGATGCCATTATAGAAATGCTATTGGAAGCTCATCTCATTATCAAATACGACATCAAGATTGAGAACCTTCTGGTTCAGTCTCAAACAGTTGCCAGGGAGTATTGTGGAATCAGTGGTTAGAGAATAGAGTTTGTTAAGCGTTGTGATAATATACCTTTTAGTCACTCCTCAGATGTAGGTGTCACTGGCTGGGCCAGAATGTATTTCCCTAGCACCTTCTTGAACCACTGCTGTAGGTAAATCCACAATGCAGTTAGGGAGGGAGTTCCAGGATTGTGACTCAGTGAGAATGAACGAACAGTGATATATTTCTAAGTCAGGATGGTTGGTGGCTTGGAAGAAACTCACAGGCGGTGGTGTTCCCACATAGCTGCTGCCCTGTCCTTCGAGATGGTCGTGGTCATGATTTGGAAGATTCTGCCTAAGGAGCTCTGGTGAACTTCTACAGTGTATCTTGTATATGGTACACACTGCTGCTATAAAGTGTCAGTCATGGAGGAACTGACTGACACCATATCCACAAACAATCTAGCAGGCTACTTTGTTCTAGATAATATCAAACTTCTTAAATGTTGTTGGAGCTGCATACGGCCAGGCAACTGGGGAGTATTTCATCACATTCCTCAGTTATGCCTCACCAGGCTTTGGGGAGTCTGAATTACACCACACAAGAGTTCTAGACTCAAATCTGCTCTTGTAGCCACAATTTTTATAGAGTTAGTCTTGTTTAGTTTCTGGTAATTTATGCACACCTTTAGGGAAACATGCTTTAAACTGCTGTCAATTATCTACATCAACAGGATATGATATATTAGTCAATAAAAACTGAAACAACTGCGGATGCATTAAATCAGAAATGAAAACAGAGGTTGCCCAGAAAGCTCAGAGGTCAAGCAGCATCTGCGAACAGAAATGAAGGTCAATGTTTTGGGTCCAGTGGCCTTCCTCAGAACTGTGACACACTAGTCCCATGACTTGGAAGCAGTCTGAAGTAGCATTGATAGAGATCAAATGTACATGAATTAGCCTCTCAATAATCTAACTGCTTATAATCTTACAATTGGCTTATAACTGTCAAATAATGGACTCACAAAATTGTTTCACCAATCCCTACATGTGATTAGTATGTTTACATGTAGCAGAAGAATATAACAGTGGGGACCAAAGACAACAACTTTGGTTCCCAAAATTCAAGTGGAGGAAATTTCTGGTAGGTTGGAAAAGCAGCCTGATAACATAGAAACATTGGAGGGGTCAAGTGAAGTAGTGGTAGAGTAGAACTTGGTGTCATCTATCAGAATAGATTTTAGATCAAACAACATTTCACTTTTGAACTGGATTAATACAAATGTAAAAGCAAAATGAGAACAAAAAAGGCGGAAACACTCAGCAGGTCAGACAGCAGGTGTGCAGAAATAGAAGTCAATATTTTAGTTCTTCACCTCCACCCTTCTTTATGTCTGGAAGATCATACTAATGAGCAACATTTAACAATACAATTAAAACAGGAAGAAAAACTAACTAGTGGATTTTTCTATTTCTTCATGTGTTGTAAGCAATGGTGAGAAGGTTGGGAAAATATAACAAAAATGAAAATAATCAGAATCTCGCTGTTGAGAAAAGGTTTTGCGAATTTAAATGGAAACTTCAGAATCTCACTGCTTCCATGCATTTGCATCTCATTAAATTGCCCAGCTCACCTTACTTACACATCATTTCTAATTCTCTTCTCCTTTCCTGAGAGATCAGACAGTACAAATTCCTGACGTGCAAGTCAGAGCAGGTACCTGGCAGCTACAGCTGGCCATCATCCATACGTGTCTTCAGCACAATGTGCCCGTGCATTCCAGTCACCATCCTCCTCAACACCCCATCCAGCTAAGACAGCATCAGCAAATCACAGCTCACCACATCTGCATGCCGGTTCTTCAAACAATTCACAAGGCACTTTCAGTCCCTCACTTGACTTGAGTTCAGGGAAACATAGAATATATTTGCTTCTGCCAGCCTGCTTTGCATGCATGGGCATATATGCATCACGTGCATCTTCACAAGATGCCTCTTGTGGCTCCCAGCTTGTTTTCATAACGTCAACTCACTTTTCATTTAGTTGAGAGGGTGCCAGCCTCTATCTACTTTACATTGGTTTCTATGCTCACTGACTTCCAGATTACTAGCCTCCGTGTGGCTCGCGTTGCTTTTTAGAGCTGAGGATTTGAGTACAAATTTCCAAGCTGCCAGCTCATGTCTCACATTGTTTTCTTAATGCAAAAGAGGCAGGCAGCTTGTAATGGCTAGGAGCACTGACAGTGAATGGGGTGGTCGCATCATAGAATCAGGTTATGTCAGCATTACCCCTGAAGTAGGTGCCAACAGCTTACATGGCAAACACAGTCATGTACTTCATATTAACTGCAACGTATGGAGGTAAAAGGGGAGCAGCACATTGTGGTGTTAAGGGGGTCTACGGTTAGTCAGGCTGTGCAGCCATACAGTCAAGGAACTGGTCCGATTACAGTGGAAGACATTGGTCACAGTCAGTCAGGCACTTAGTTCTAATAGAATCTGCAGATGTGTGTCCTTGCAGTCTGGAGATTGGGCCATGGTCAGTTCTAAGGGGCAGCGCATTTAGTTTGGGGATCACAGGTTAATTGGGGTGCTGGGGAGATGTTAGTTTGAAGGATAGGCTGTGCTTAGTCACTTCTGTCCTACCAAGTCAGTATGGAGCACCCATAGTTTTAGAAGTAACAGTCAGGGGGTTTATCAGAGGACTTTGCATGAAATCCTGGGGTAAGTGGGCAACTCAATCTGGAATTCAAAGCACTGGATCACTGAGGGAATGAGTAGTGATGGGGGAAATCCACGGAAAAGAACAGGAGAGTAAGATCTGAGAGGAAAAGTTCTCAAAAGGTCATGGTCCCTTCCTGGGGCGAGTGTAAGGCCATGAACAGCATTGGATTGCACAAAAGCCGTGAGCTTTTATGCAAAATGGGGACATTAATAGTCATATAAGGGGCTCAACAAAAACCATGCAGTTGGATGAGGGAGTAACAAAGAAGTTGAAAAGGTCAGGAGAAATAGGCAATACTTCCTGTATTTATTTTTGTTTTTGGGGAGCGGACCTCTGAGGAACCTTAGAGTGACTGCATGACCACACATCTTTGAAGGAACACTGGATACAAAGACAGTAACCCATAACACAAAAGGGATCATGAAGGACGATCCTGAACAATTGACTCAGTGCTGGACCTAGGTCTCCAGGGTAGTTGCCAATCTGTGCATGGGAATGTATTAGTGACGTGCTCACGAGATCGTGCTCCCAAGTTTAGTCTAGACAGAGCACCCACAGAGATGAAAGTCTCTGTGCTTTCAGTGGACTCCTCCTCAGAAGTGGAAATGGAGAGGAGGATCTCTGGCACTGGTCCCTTCCCAGCAGAGGTTTGCTGGGTGCGACAGATGCCTGTATAAGAGTGAAGAGAGGAGGGAATTAGATATGCAAGAAAGATAAAATCTTGTACAGATTGAGTTAGCACTGCAAGGTAACAGGAGAGCAGCACAGGAAAGAATAACAAAGCTTACTGGGTTGGTTGGTCATTTAGATTTCCCCATTCTCACATAGATGGTCATTCTCTTCTCCAACCAATTCTAAAGTTCTCTCCCTAAAAACAGCAAGGCACCTGACATTCACCCACTCCCTGTAGCCTTGGCCCAGCTCTGAGCTAATATCTCCTGCAGTGATATAACTATATGATATCACTCAGTGATATGTCCGAGTATGATGGAAGTGGATAGACGAGCAGCTAGTGGTGGTGATTTTGGGGGGGGGGGGGGCGGGGGGGGGGTGCGGTGGCAGGAGAGGTGGTGAGGTGCCCCGAATGGGTGAGTAGGAGGGAAAAAAGATGGAAAACCTTAATAGTTTGGGAGAACGAGGTTGGCCATAGTTGTTGAGTGGACATGCTGCATACAATATTTGAAGTTGTATGTGCAGTGCTTGAGATGGAGCAACTGGGGTCCTGTGAGTTTGAGATAGCAGATATAAAAGAGACCAAAATTTACCTTTGTGGAGCACAGAAGATCATTGACCTTTTTCTTGCAATGCTGGGCATTGCTTTTACCCTGGATCACTATCTGGGTCTGGGCTGGTTGCCTGATGGCATGGTGTATCCCCCTGAGGCAGTCAGCTGGATAAAAGGATGGACTTCCTTTCCACCAACATAAGGTGCCCATCTGTGAAACTTTCCTTTCTGTGTCTAGTTTTTGGTAATTCTGGTGTAACATCTCAGCGTAACAGGTAGTTACTGGTTTGACATGGTGTGTAGCTGGCCTTTACACACTGTGGCACTGAATGTTCCCTGCAGTGTTCAGCAATTGCACCTCTCCTGTTGCCCCATTGCACGAGAAGAGCATCAAAGTGCCCGGTTGCATAATTAATGAAATGAAAAGCAGACATTCATATGGGCAGACTGACCACTATGAACCTCACTGGACAAAACCACCTACAGATGCTGTTTCCACTTACAGCCTTTCCATGCTCTCTTCCACTTTTACCCTGTTCCTTTTGAAATACATGTTTAAACCACATATTCTCTGACATCCTTAACCAAACTTCCACTCTCCATTAAAAGATCTGGGTAAGAAGGGAGCAAAAAAGACTTTGCTTTCACAATGCAAATCAAACATATTTTTAAAATGAACTAGAAATGAATAAAAACCGAAAGAACTGCGGATGCTGTAAATCAGGAGCAAAAACAAAGTTGCTGGAAAAGCTCAGCAGGTCTGGCAGCATCTGTGAAGGGTCACCAGACCCGAAACATTAACTCTGTTTTTTCCTTCACAGATGCGCCAGACCTGCTGAGCTTTTCTAGCAACTTTGTTTTTGTTCTAGAAATGAATAAAGATAGGTATCTTCCCTTCATCTTGTATCAAGTGTTGCCAGTACAATCTAAAACCAACCAGAAATAATTAAAAACAATCACAAGTAGATTAGTGGTTAGCTTCATAATGGTGCTCTCAAAGTAAAAATGATGTTAACATAACATATTTTTCTCCCTTCAAACTTTCAAGTTTAGAACACAACCAGAATGGCTGTGCGATCAAACGTTTGTAAATGTTTGCCCCTCTCTAACTCTCAGCAAGCTTTTTGAATAAAATGAATGCATTTTAATTCAAGAAAACTTTGAATATTTTTGTTACATTGTAAAATGAAAAAATGCTATCCATCAGAAAATTTCGTCAATCTAGAACTGAATGCCCACGCTTAATCTGTACAATCCAAAATCAACTCAGTCACAGCTTTCAGCAGAATGTCAAGATCGAGCTCAGGATTCTGGGAGTAGCAGAAATATACACAAAATCCTTCGGAGGCATTTAAGACATCACACAACTAAGACTGTGGAGTATTCATAACATAGATTGGGTAACTTGTTTTTTAAAAAATAAATACATGACCCTTATTCCAACACATCAGAAAACTCAGTTAAATAAAAATTACAGTTGAAAAATATTTTCAAAAAGTTAGTGTGATCATTGGGAACCCAGTATCTTGATCGTGTAGCTGCATAAAGTAGCAACTGTATACATCTTACAGTGTGGCAAACATTGCAGAAGGCCAATTCAGCACACTGTCTAGTAAATAGGTTCTTCTAACAAGTTTTCAGCAACATGTATCCATGTAAAAATTGAATATTACTATGGATAGTTGTTGAAACTTAATAATATATTTAAAAATTTTCTAGTTTCTGTGAAAATCCAACATTCTAAAGTTTGACAGAGGTAGATAGGTCTTACATTCAATTGGACTATAACTGGCCATTTTGATCCTCTGTAGCACGCCAAGGTCTACATTGAATAGTCTGGGTGGTTTCACTGGAGGAGGTCCCAATACTTCAACAGATGGCAACTCTCTACATCGCAGGAATGTATGTTGGTAGCCTTTTTCATGAGTGTTTCCTACTCCTTGATCCATTGGCAGCTTTGGTTCTCGAGTGTTTTCTAATGGCAACCCTGGAGAAGTCTCTGACTCTGCACTGTGGTTGACATCTAGTTTTAACCCTTTCTGATCAACTTTTGGGCAAGAAAGATATGTTTTTGGTGGAAGAGGTGGAACAATAATTCCACAGTTATCAACTGATTGAGAAATGTCACTACTTTGGATGAGCATAGACTGGACAATTTCTTTCCTTGCACCAGATATCTGTATCTCTGGCTCCATACTTAGATTTTCCTTCCTATATTGTGAAGGAGAAGTTGTCCTGAAATGTGGATCAGCATGACATGTTGTCTTAGGAGGAAAATAAGAATTTGCTCTTGAATTTGACAGTGAAGGAGGAAGTGTACCACATTTTATCTTTTCAGCTGGTGCACTATTGCAATGTAAAGTATTCTCCCAAATATTTAATTTTTCTTTAAATGAGATTGCATTCAGTTGGTCACTTATGACATTATCTTTTGACGGTCTGGATTCTGAGGTCTTATTTTCAAGTTTTTGAAGATTGTTGGAACTAATCCTCAATGACGCACCTTCATAGCTAGTAAGATCTTCAGGTTTTCTTCCACTTTCATCTGGATCATTGGGTGTTGTCCAGTCAGGTAATTTCAGAAGTACAGGCTTTGGAACTACTGCTGGCTTTATCAGCGGAACAGGAGGATGTAGAGATTGTGCATTAGTTTGTTGAACAGCAGCATTGTGAAGAGGAACTGTCTCAAAAATGTTAATGTTGGTTACATTGGTTTTGGTACGAGCCACTCCAGGTGCTTCAGAAGCTTGTAAAGGTGGTTTACCACTGGGCTTGATCTTTATTATATCAGACTTTTGAAATTTTGCCCGAAGTGCTTTGAAATCAATATTTTCTTCCTGCCAAAAAGAAAAAAAAGAGTAGAACAGCGGTTACCTATTGTAGCTGGAATTCTGAGCTTTCCAACCTTAAAATGTTACTTGTTTATTTAAAGCAAAACTATTTCAACAAGGTCAGACATCAACGCCACAGAACAGCATGTCCAAAAGCAACTAAGTTGGTATAGCCCAAGCCCTGGTTTGTGGAGTTTCAATTAAATGCCACCCGAGGATCTACACTATTCTGGCTAACAGAGGAAAGTCAACCACAAGTTTTACAGTTGAACATTGGTAGCAGATTACTGAACACTCTCTTGACTTGCATGTAAAAAAAAAAAAGTAATACTAAAGGTGTGCTTAGAATGATACCAGAGTATAAGTTAACATCTAATGGTGGCACAGAGGTTAGCACTGCTGCCTCACAGTGCCAGGGATCTAGGTTCAATTCCACCTACGGGTGCTTGTCTGTGTGGAGTTTGCACATTCTCCCCGTGTCTGCGTGGGTTTCCTCCCACAGTCCAAAGATGTGCAGGCTAAGTGGATTGGCCATGCTAAATTGCCCATAGTGTTCAGGAATGTGGAGATGGGTTACAGGGAAAGGGTAGTGGGTCTGGGTGGGGTGCTCTGAGGGTCAGTGTGGACTTGTTGGGCCAAGGGGCCTGTTTCCACATTGTAGAGATTCTATGATTCTATGATCTTCAAGATTAGAGAAAATAAAATCTATGGAAAAATGCCCAAAGAAGAAATTACCATCTTTCCATGTCAAAGTTCAACATCAAATCATGTAAAGCTCCTTCATTTTTGCCATCTTTTTAAACTGTCAATTGTATCACAGCATGAAAATACAATGAAAACTCCAAAAGGCAAAAATGTGAATTGTTCAATTCAAAGAAAAACAATAGTACCAAAAGGCAATAAATTCAGAAATTTGAAATGCTCCTGTTGACCACACAGAAGGTTTGAATGTACTGACCTAAAATGATCTGAATTTTTGATACAATTACATGAACCAAACAGGAGTAAAGACTACACATATTTTTGAAGTTTTGTTTGAAGGTAGTGAGCCCTAGGTCTCGGCACCCCACTCTGTAGCTGGATCCTTGACTTCCTGACCCTTAGACCACAGACAATAAGAATAGGTGACACCTTCTCCACAATAATCCTCAATACCGATGCTATGCAAGGCTGCGTACTCAGCCCCCTACTGTTCTCTTTACACTTTTACGACTGTGGCCAAATTCTGTCTTAACTCCTTTTACAAGTTTGCTGATGACATCACCATTGTTTGAGATCCAACCTACGACACAAAGTACAGGAAAGAGATTGAGTGCTTGGCGGCATGAAGTAAAGATAACAATCTCTCCATCAACATCAGCAAAACAACGGAGCTGGTGATACCCCTCTCTGCAATGGTGCTGAGGTGGTGACAGTCGAAATCGTCAAGTTCCTGGGAGTGATGATCACCAACAATCTGTCCTCGTCCACCCATGTCGATGAAACAGTCAAGAAAGCACATCAACATCTCTGCTTCATCTGCACGTCTACAAAGACTCGTACAAATTTTTATACATACAACATAGAAAGCATCCTATCTGAATGCATCACAGCATGGTTGGCAACTGCTTTTTCCAAGACCACAAGAAACTAGAGATTCGTGAACACAGCCCAGTCCATCACGCAAACCAGCCTTCCATCCATTGACCCCTTCCACCAAAGTCATACTCTCTTCCACCCTCTTTCAATGGGCAGAAGATATAAAAGTTTGAACGGACGGACGAAGAGATTCAAGAACAGCTTCTTCCCTGCTATTATCAGACTTTTGAACCAACCTCTCAAATGTTAATGTTGATCTCTCTCTCTGTCTCTGCAGCTGTAATACTGTATTCTGCACTCTGTACTGTTACGTGATACACTTGTACAGTACAATCTGCCCATAGAACATACAAAACAAAAAACTTTTCACCATATCTCGGTCCATGTGACAACAATAAGTCAAATCAAGAAAAGGATTCTGTTTTAGGCCTCTTCAGCCATCAACACCTCTTTTTCTTTGTGAAGTTAGCCAAAGTTTACAAAACTATTTGACCATAGTGAATGATAAGCTAATCCTAACCAGTCTAATCAGACATTTTTTCTCGCGTGAAAGAGACAATGACGATCAGAAGTGGATTTTCCCTGCCCTAGGCTGCACACCCAGAGATCAATTGTAGTTCTGTAACATCGTATCAGTCAAGATGAACTAATTCAGCAGAAGTCAAGGATTTAAAACAAAACATTTACATTTAACATGGCTCAGAGTTGAATTTTTCTGTGTATGTAGTTACATTAAAATTAGGACAATAACTTTTAATAATTTCTACAATCTTCCATCACATTGACCAGTAATAGCTGTCCACTTCACTTCTGCTGTTGGGCCAGAGTAATCATTCCAGAGATGTTAGATGTAAAATGTGATTAAAAACAGCAAGAGATCACAATCCTTTAAAATAAACAATATGGCACTTTAAAAATAAGCACTTTTACACAGAAATGAATGATTCACACCCCAAAATTATTTTGTAGCATCTATTTTCCATGCAGCTGTATTTCCTGCTGAAAATAATCCATCTGACCACTGCACTGAAAGATATTCAGGTTCTATGATTTCAAAACAATGAAGTGCCACAAAACTCATTCACTCCACTGCAATCAAGGTCTAGTTCAAGTGGAATAATTTATTCATTCCAATTCCACTTTCGTGTACATTTCTATATTCACTTACACTGTTCCCTTCCAAATATTTATTCAACGTCTGTATAAGTAATGATACATGCCACAAATTTGCAAAACAGGCATAAATGAGACCATACCAGCCTTATATGCACCAGAAACTATACAGACCATGTACAGCACACCTCAAATCCCTGGTGAGATATCACTACCACTGCCTTTGCAAACGCCTGCAAATCCATTGGCACACCAATGTGAGTACCTTCTCCCAGCCCAATACTGCTAGTATCAAGGCACTGGTCACACACAACCAGTTGCGATGGGCTAGCCATATAATCCACATGCCCAACACAAGACTCCCTAAACAGGTACTCTGCTCTGAGTTCCACAATTGTAGGTGTTCATTAGGAAGGCAGTGTAAATGCTTCAAGCACACCCCGAGAGCCTCCCTAAACAGAGGCAACATTTCCACTTGTACCTGGGAATCACTTGCCCTAGAAAGTACGAACTAGTGAAGAAGCAACCAAGAATGTGCCGACAACGTTGAGTGTCACTAAGTGGAGCATGTTGCAGGCCAAGTGCAAACAGCAGATGGTCCCACTCACCCACCTCAGCAAATACCACCTCCCCTCCCTGCAGTTGAGTCTGCGGCTCCAGGATCAAACTATTCATCCGACACAGAATTCCAAACACCACCACAATCAGAGAGGAAGCAAATCATCCTCAACCCTGAGGGACTGGCAAGAAGAAAAGATGACCAACCCTATAAGCAGATAGGCTGCACCCACCACTGGCACTGTGCTGAATGCTTCTTGCAGTGCAAGTGTTGCTCCATATTTGGAACAATCCATAGAGTTTTCCCAGGAAATTTGAATTGTAACCCATTCATTTAGGAAGTACAATATCCAGCACTGAATGATGTAATATGATGGAGGATACAAAAGTGGATTAATTTTTGAAAATGGTATAGCAGAAACATATAGACAACAAACTAGTGCTAAACTGTAGGAATACCTTCAATATACTCTTCCTCATCCCATTCCCTATCTGTGATGCCATTCCCTCACTCTCTACATCTGATATCCTACTCCTGGTCTCTCCCTCCTTCCAACAATCTTGTCTCCAACCCAACTACAAATTTCCTTTTTCAGAATCCAACCACAAACACTCCCTTTTTGGCATCTCTCCCTCCAGTCAAAGAGAAACTAATGCATACGTGGAACAATCCCTCTTCCATACCTACACCGGCCCTAAACACCACCTCTTCCTCCGTTACATTGATGACTGTATCGGCGCCACCTCGTGCTCCCACGAGGAGCTCGAACAGTTCATCCACTTCACTAACACCTTCCACCCCAACCTTAAGTTTACCTGGACCATCTCTAACACCTCTTTCCCCTTCCTGGACCTCTCTGTCTCCATATCGGGCAACCACCTAGAAACTGATATTCATTTCAAGCCCACCGACTCCCACAGCTACCTAGAATATTCCTCCTCCCACCCACCTTCCTGCAAAAAATGCTATCCCCTATTCCCAATTCCTTCACCTCCGCCGCATCTGCTCCCAGGATGAGGCATTCCACTCCCGTACATCTCAGTTGTCCTCGTTTTTCAAGGACCGTAACTTCCCCCCCCTCGGTGGTCGAGAACGCCCTCAACCGTGTCTCCCGCATCTACCGCACCTCATCCCTCACACCCCGTCCACGCAATAAGAACCAAAAAAGAATCCCCCTCGTCCTCACGTACCACCCCACCAACCTCCGGATCCAACGCATCATCCTCCGACACTTCCGCCATCTGCAATCCGACCCCACCACCAAAGACATCTTTCCCTCCCCACC